TGCAGCCGCTGATGACAGAGCACTACGATTCGCTGGCGAGGATCTACTGGTACCTGAACGAGCGCGGCAAGTCGCGGGCGAATGCGAGGTCGGCTGTCGAACTGCTGGCCGTGCATGGGTTCATCGACCGCAAGGACGTGGATCTCTACGTGGGCGCGGTTCTGGAGAAATATGCTTCAGGGGCAGATTAGGTAGCAATCTGGAGCAATCAAATGCCGCGAAATGCCAATACTGCCCGCCGCGATGGACACCTAGCCTAATCTCATCGGGGACGTGGCCTGGAAGCCAATCTGGACACTAACAGAGCACAGCCCGGCTCAGTGGAGATGCAACCCTCGCTCGTGCTAAATGAGTGGTCATACGCATGCCTCATCATCTGTCCTCCCACGGGGTCGTGCTCGTCATGGCCTGTGCAGCTTCACTTCTTCAACCAGGTCCTGTTCGTCGTCCGGACTGACAGCCGGATCGTCCGGTTTGATCCTCTCACACATCCACCCGTGGACGAACGAACACCTCATGAGAACGTCAGTGAAGAAGAGCATTGCAGCCGTTTTTTGGCTGTCAGTCTTCATCTGCGCCTTCGTGGCGATCAGGAACATGGCGGCGTTTGCGGGTCCTCGCTATCGCTTTACAATCCTGCCTGATTATTTCGTCGACTACGAGCAAGTGGCTGCCCAGGATCCCTCAGGCAAGGCGACAACTCAACCGAATCTGGGTATTCTCGACCGCGAGTACCCCGAGATTGAAATTCCGGGCACGCCTTGGGAGCGTCTCGTCACAAATGTCACACGCCTCAACGCCGAGAGCAAAGGCGACGTCAAATACAAAGTCCTGTTCCTCACGAGGCACGGCCTAGGTTACCACAATGTCCAGCAGGCCAAGGTTGGCACACCAGAGTGGGATGTAAGTCGAGCACTGAGAGGTGGAAATATCGTGACAGAGCTCTGATGACTGACTGATACTAGCGCTACTGGTCGCGGCTCGACGGCGACGGCGCAGTCGTCTGGCGTGACGCCCCTCTTGTCGAGGAGGGCATCAACCAAGCCAAGCAACTGAGTCTCATCTGGCAGGACGCTGTTGCTAACGGCAGGATGCCTCTGCCGCATTCTTTCTACACGAGCCCCTTGACTCGATGCCTGCAAACCAGCAAGCTCGTCATGGGCCCTCTCCTCGAGAGCCGCGGACACGCATTCCGCCCTATCGTGAAGGAGCTGCTGAGAGAGCGCATGACAGACCACACATGCGACGCCAGGAGTACGCGCACCTCGATCCAGGAGGCGTACCCGGAGTACATAATTGAGCCTAGCCTCACAGAGACAGATGAGCTCTGGAAGGCCGATCGGTTCGAGTCGGATGAGGAGCACATTGCACGGAAGCAGCGCGTGCTCGAAGACATCTTCTCGACGGACCACAGTCAATACATTTCGCTGACGGTGCACTCACAAGCTATACAGGCCATCATGCAGGTCGGAGGTGCCACGCCGTTCAAGATTCGGGAGGGGACCTCATTTGCCGTGGTCATGCGGGCAGACAGGTTGCGTTCATAACGACAAACACCGCATATGGTTGACGAAGAAACAAATATTTGCACGGCGCAAATTATGTTGATATTGAGAATTACCAATTATGTATGGGTTCCGTGATGACTCCGCTCAAAGCTCGCTCAGAATGTCCTCAGCCGCCTTCTCCGCCGCCATGAATGTTGAAACGGCTGTGAACGTGCCCGGGATCCGGGGATAGACAGACGCGTCGACGACACGAAGCCCCTGCACACCACGCACGCGGAACTTGGAATCCAAGACCGCCATAGGATCGCCGTCAGCACCGATGGGGCAGGTGCTCGACGCATGGTGGCCCCAAGCTGTGTCCTTGATGTAGGTAGCAACCTCCTCGGCCGTGTTAACATCTTTGCCCGGGAGCCTCTCCTCGACGGGAACAAGCTGTCTCTTGAAGGCGTCGCGGGCGACACCAATAGCTTCGGAGATGGCCTGGATGTCGGCGTCGGCATCACCACTGCCGGTGTCGAAGAAGTTGTAGACAATTTCCGGAACGTCGAGGGGATCGGCGGAAAGGAGCTTCACCGTGCCAGCCGTGTTGCGGGGGTGACCCTTGAGGATCGCCCATGTGTAAAGGTCAGGGTCGGACGTCGTGTTGAAACTGTATCCTGGGAAGTATCCCTGGAAGTTTACAGGCCCTCCAAAGATGAACGTGTCCCAATCGTCGCCGGCCACCACTGAAGATTTGTAGAGCATGGCTACGCCAAGGCCTGACGAGGCATATGTCCCGCGGTTTCCGAGGACAGGCTTCTTCCACCTCTCGAGGCAGGGGTCATCCTGGTTACCACGACCAAATGTGCATCCCTTCAGGGCCGCGAAATCCGTCGGCGCTCTGCCAATGACACCAACCTCGTAATGATCCTGAAGGTTCGTGCCGACACCGGGTAGATCCGCGACGACCGGAATGCCGAAACTCTTGAGTTCGTCGGCGGGACCGACACCGCTGAGCTTAAGGATTTGAGGGGAATTGTAAGCGCCGCCGGCAATGATAACCTCCCGCGTGGCATTCACCGACCCGGGCTTGCCGGCGCCGGCGGTGCGAGAACGCGGGCTTGCCTTGTAGAGGTACTGGCCGTCCAGGAACTCGACACCTGTCGCACGTGGCGGGTCCTCAGCCTCGTCAAATACAACCTTGGTGACGTGACAGTTCATGCGGACATCAAGGGGATATCGTTTGCTCCCATCGCCGTTCTTGGCGTCACGCACAGCGACGATGAAGTCTCGAGGCCCGATGCGCTTGCCATTGTCGGACGAGATTGGGGTCTGATAGTACCCGGGCCCTGTATCTCTACGGAGATTATCCGCGTTCGCGTCGCCCAGGAGTAGGCTGCCAATGTTGAAGACGGACTTTGTCAGGTTGCCGAGGGCGAATGCCCCGCCAAGGAAGAGGCTCAAAAGTTGGGGATCGGCCAACGGAATGGTCAGTGGTGCCGTTTCCGTGTCGAGCCACCCGTCGTAGCCGTGTCCGGGAATCAGGGGTAGAAGATAGCCGTTGTTTTCCATTTTGACAAAGTGTTTGCGCATGTTCTTCGCTGACCATGATTGATCACCCGTCAAACGCGCGATGTAGTCAAAGTCGGACTGGAAAGGGTACAGCGCAATGAGGGCGTTGTGGGCAGTGCACCCACCTAGGGTGCCTGTGCGTGGATATAGGGTGCCCTTGATCTTGGACCCTGCAGGGGGGTCGAGTCCAGTGTAGAGGCTGCCATCTGGCGTCTCATAAGTGGTCTTGAAGTCCCTCGCTTGCCTCTCATCGTCGGCATAGTGCCGTACGAAGAAGTCCCAGGCCATAGCTCCGTCTTCCGATGCCCTTGCTGAGTACGATGGCACGGTATAGTTTGTGCTGAGACCTTGGTCATCTCCGGCCTCGATCAGCAAGGTCTTGTGTCCTGCCAGGGCAAGCCGGGCGGCCAGCGGCCCTCCTCCAGCCCCTGATCCGACAACAACGTACTCGTAGTCATCGACAGTTTGCGCGAGCACCAACGAGGTGCCCAAAAGCGGGAGGAGATGTCCGAGCCTCATGGTGACGGGCGGTCAAAACGAATTTGAAAGTGTAAAGGAGTAGGAGGAGACCTGGGACGGACTTCGTGCCTTCTTGCTCCAGACCATCACAACTTAAATCTTTTCTCTAACAACGGGGCAAATCTGTTGAGAACGAAATGACCATGTCGATCTTCGGTGCCACTAACGCCGATGCACGATGTGACGTCTGGCGCGGGGGAAAACCTGGAGTTCAGGGGTGCTAGCTCGCGGCTTCTTGACTGCCGTGCGCTGGCGCTGGGGATATTGGGTCTTGGCAATGCTTACGGCTATCGGGAATGTCAAATTGTCAGGAAAGATAATGTGTCTGACTCGACCTTAACTTGCCTAGGCATTCCGGGAGGAGCGTGTCGACGCAAGACGCTGAACAGGTTAATTGCATGACAATGCGGGTTTTCAGGTGGACGAGGCGTGAGTGTTGTCATTGAACGCCATCTGCACAACATGCTCAAAGCACCCGTCTAGGGCGGTTTTGGCGTCACGCATTGCTTTTGCTCGTGTCCCCGGCCTCACACGTTGTCCAATGTCATCCCATGTCCTTCACCCTTACTTCTAGACAAATAACTAGATTCGGTAAGCCATCACGCTCAGCACCCAAACTCCGACGGGGGCCGGGGATCGAACTGCTTCCGTCAACTGATTCGTCGTGGCCAAGTCGTAGCTTAGAATGTTGCTCGGTAGTCAACCTTCATATCTTAGTGTAGTACCACAGATCAGCTGGACGTTACTCAGCTGGCGATCTTACCTCTAAACTGATCAACCACAACCCCTGAGCCCCCTATGAAAACTAGGTAGCGTTACCCCGCATTTGTCGAGAGACAGGTGCCCGAAGCGCTGAGCCGAGGCCTGAGCGAGCGATTCGAGCTGTTGTGCTTGCGATCTTGTCGACACCTGGACGTCAAAAGCATGTGCTCATGGTCAAACTATTGGCATTTAGCTCGATCAGCATGCGGCATGGGCAGCAATCACCAATTCAGTGCTTTTCCCTTGGGCCGATGTCCCCTGGGGAATGCCTTGGGGTGGGAAGTCCCTTGCCAGTGACCCAATCGAGTGTCATTGAAAAGGTAACACGCAGCACGGTGTTCGGTCATGTGCCATAGGTAGCCTTTTTTTGCCTTATAGACAATGCCCACTCGTCCGCCAATGTCATGAATACCTCCAACTACCTTAGGATAGAGATCTGTCTCGAGAGAGCCGAGCGTTGGTGCTGGTTTGGAGACTGAGACAACTTGGTCGATGATGTAATTGTGGCAGAAGTCCCCACACCCACAGTTGACTGCATTTCCACGCAAAATACCAGAACCCTGAAGCCCACCACATTCACGCCGTTCCTCTCACATCAACACGGAGAACGATAATCCAGGCTCATCGTTTTACAAAAAGAGAAGCTACTCACCCGTAATCATGCTCAAAGCTGGAATCGTGGTTGTGGCACTTTTGGCCACAGTCTTCCAGGTCTTCCTGAAGGATGCCGTCTGGATGGGCCTTGGCATTGGCAAGACCATCCAACCTCTCTCCGACTTTCCATACACCTGCCGACGCATTGAAGACCCTCGACTGGAAGCATGTGAGGATATGTGGCTGTCCGAGACAACTCGACAGTTGTTCCTTGCCTGCTCAGATTCAGACAGCCGGTCTAAATGGATCCCGAAGTACGTGTTGACCGCCTTGCCTATGCTCACCATTCCAAGCCCGTGATTCGCGTTATCTGCCTTCAATACCGATCAACAGCTTTCCGAAAGCCCACTGACCGGAATCTAGCGGTGGGAAGTATGACCCCTCTGGACAATCCCAGAGGGATGCTATTGTTGCCCTAGATCTTGACCTCCCCCATCTCGACGCGTCCAGCGTTCGCGTTCTCAAGACTGAGGGATACACCGGCACCGCTGGAGACCGCCTGCTGAACCTTGTTGGTTTTACCGGCTTCGAGTCGACTGAGAAGGGCGAGGATAAAATCACATTGTTCGCCGTGAACAACCGCCCTCCCCTCGATCTGCGGACGGGGAAACCGAATATCAACCCGGGTCAAGTAGGAGCCAATTCCACAATCGAGGTCTTCGAGACCAGCGCCGGCGCCGCTTCCTTAAAGCACATCCGCACCTACGCCAATGATGCCATCGCGACACCCAACCGTGTGGCCGCTCTCGCCAAAGACCTGTTTTACTTTACGAACGACCACGGACAGGACAAGGTTGGAATCGTAAGTGTTTATTTTTTTTTGTTCTTGATTGGAGACATAGTGCCAAGGGCAGTACTGAACTCTCCATCCTTAGAAGCACCAGTTGGGGTTCATCCTCAAGACAGGCGACGTCAATGTTTGCACTGCAACTGGCGGCTGCAGAAAGATCGCCGACCAACTCAAGTTTCCCAACGGTCTCGCTCTCGGTCGCGATGGACTTCTCTACGTCCCAAGCGTCGGTACAGGTGGAATTCATGTCTACAGGATTCTCGAGGACCACAACATCAAGCATGTTCAAGAGATCAAAACCGGATATAGCATCGACAACCTCTCTGTTGATCAGCATGGCGACATTTTCGTTGCTGCATTTCCAGTCGCCTTCGACATGGTGAAGGCTTTCGATGACCCGCGCAACTCTTTTCCAGCCGCCGCTGTACTGCGCGTGAGCAAGGGTGAGAAAGGATATACCGTCGACAAAGTGCTTGAAGATGCGCGCGGTGAGGTGCTTCCTGCGGCTACGACGGCTCTTCATGATGCCAAGACGGGCAGGCTTTTCCTGAGCAGTGAGTCATTGGCTAAGAGCACTGCTTACTTCCGCTGGCTGACGTCTTCAGGTGTCATTTCACCCTTCATCGCCGTTTGCGAGCCAAAGCGGTAAGATCCGCGGGCTCCAAAAGCACTCGAAATCTCATAGTTGTATATGAAGCACCGGCTCAAAGGCTCTGTACGCATTATGAAATCGGGTGTTAGCCATCGACCTGGTTGTGGACATGACGTGAAGATCGTCGCTTCCTTGGCCAGCACGACACCTATACTTAGAATAGAAAATCTGGAGCACCTATGAATGAAGATCTTCTGGTGGCCAGGCGAATCCATGAAATCCTATCAGCTCCCTTTGAACTTGATCAACAAGGGATGCTGGTCCCGGCTGTAGCCGCAATAGACGCCCTGGCAGCACCTTGGTCGTGCGCCTACGGCATCGTCGCGTGCATTGTGTCGCGCGCCTGTCACGATTGGCAAGATTCTCTACCCGCTACGGGTTGGTAACGCCGTGAAGGATTTGAGGGCTGAAAGCGGGCTGTAGGTGGTTATGACGTTTTGCTGAATCCTCCTAGGTGGTGGCTGCGGGTGATGCAGATCGACACTCAATCGGTCGCTGCAGGGTCCCGGTCCCGAAGCAGGGCAGTGCTGTGCAATCGCCACGATCCTTCAACTGCAACACTGCGGGGGATTTGATTGGTGTTGATCTGTCATCGTGCGGTTGGCCCTGAAAGCTTAGGTTTTTGATCTCCGAACCTTAACTCTGCTTGGCTGAACTAACCACAAGGCTCGAGATCTGCGTCGGAAGCTTGATAATTATAGCGACAGTTCGAATGACTTCGGTAATCAGTGGGTTCAGTACGCCCCCGAGCGACGTCAGTTGCATTGCTGGCTCACGAGACATGGTGAACACCCATGTTTTGTGACGGCACCATGGAAAGACGCAGCGATTTTGGTTTCTGAGCAGATGTATAAAAGCATGCGTCCTCCTCTGTTGTCTGATTGAAGTACCATATCACAACATCAACCGCAGTTCTCAAACCAAAATCCATTCGAACGATTAAGATTCATTACTCCGTCATAAAATACCCTTGAAGCACTTATCACCATCATGAAGTCAGCCTCCATCCTTGCTTTAGCCTCAACGGCCTCGGGCGCAGTCATTTCGCTCAATGCTCGGGATGATGCTACCCACATCCAAACCCGCCAAGCTCAAAACGTACAGGAGGGTCTCAATGCATGCACCGATAAAGCCATTCCCTGCACGGTAAGACGCCTTTCAATGAACAGAGATTTGATAGTGATACTAAACAAGTACGGTAGATTGTTTCAGCATCCACGGAAAAGGTGAACTATGGATCGAAGAATCCTCGCGACATCGCAGATCAGTAAATAGTCCCCTAGATTGCCATGAAGAACTACAAATCTAACCAACTCAAAGACTCTGGGAGAAGTGTCTTGAAGGAGGCTGCAACGTCGAGGGATGGGACGAAGACACGGAAGTTGTCTCTGGTCTTGGGCCTACCGGGGATACACTCAACGTCCTAGCTCACGGTAACTGGCCCCCAGAGTTCCGTCACGGCCTTGTGTGGGGCATGACCGAGCTGGTCGGTGGACTCTCAGAGCCCTACCGTATGACAGCAGATCGGCCACCTGTCAGGGGAGAGGGTGGCAAGGTGGGTATTGATGCCTTCAAGGCCCCCAAGAACTTCCATATCAGCCGATACGCCTGGGATGACGACCATTGGGAGAGTCAGGCATTCATCAGTCTATCGGCCTCCATGGAGGATGCTGGGTCCTCAACTTGCGAGGCACTCGTTGGTGCTTTGGAGACCGTCATTGGGGCTTTCAATGACAACATCGGGTCTCTTATTGGTGCCGCCGAGCCTGCTTGCGGTGCTACTGGCTAAGAAACATGATGCAAGCTTGTCTAGGCATCCTTTCTGTTGTACAATAAGAAGCCTTCGCCATTAAATCTTTTCAGCGAGCCATGATTGATCGTGAATGAAGTTGTGTTTGACGTAAGCTGCACCATTCAGGTCTCTTCGGTTTAAGCTAGTTGTTCCATTGCCTCTTCATCCAGTCTGAGCGTCACCCAATGTTCCATCCGCTTTGCTCCAAGACTGTCGTAAAATTTCAAAGCGGGCTCGTTGCTTCTGTAGCAATTCCATTCCAATTTTGTGCCACCCAGCTCCTGAGCCTCAGTGACCAACCTCTTGATTAAAAGACCTGCGTATCCCCGACGCCGGTATCTTTCCGATACAAAGAGTTCCTCAAGGGAAATACCTGGCTCAGCCGACCACGTAGAGTAGTTGTAGAAGAAAATAGCCATTCCAGCTATGTCTCCTTCGGGAGAGATAAGTAAGAGAGTCTTTGCGAAGCCTGGCGTAAATGAAGGTTCCCTTCTTACATCTTTGCTGGACTCGATGAAGCTCAGCGTATCGAGAAGTTTCGTCTCTGTGAGCTTCGGCTTACTTTCAGGGTCCTGCTCACTGGATCCTTCGCGAAGAAAAGAGTAGATTGTCGGGACATCTAAAAATGATAGGAATGATCAGTACCAAAAGCCCTTTGTCCTGGGTTCTTGACCATCAGTAAGAGCTGATCACCTTCTCGAGTGGCGAAACGGTAGCTACATTGGGTTGCCATACCGCCAAGTAGTCGACCGACGAACAGATTTCATAAGTTGTTTTGGAACCTTTGGGGCCGATTTGGACGACAGATGTTCGTTGCACGTCGAAAGCACGTCCGCAAAACCCCATCCATCATATGACCGGTCGCCGACATACCCCGCTCCGGCTGAGTGGCCGATGGACCCCGCACATAACAAGATACTTCGAGCCAGCGAGCTAGTGTCAAGTCTGCTCAGCTGCCGCAGCTGTCCTTTCTGATGTGTGGTTTTGCCAGGCACGTAGTGCAGGCTCAACGCCGTGGCGCCGACCCTCGTCCTCAATCACCCTCCGAAAAGTTTCTTCATCACCTGTTGGAAGGACACGCTGGCCATATGCGCCCAAGACACTTGTCCCTGTCGTTGAGGCCATATTCTAGGTCCCGTACCGATAACACAACGAACACCCCTAAACAGCGTCTTATTGACACCAAGAACTGGCAAGCTGGACTGGAGGACCTTCACCGTCTTTGCTTTTCTTCGTCTAAAGCCTCAAAATAGACAAGACCGACCACTTAATCATTTTTTCGAATGCTTTGGCCATGCGGTCGCTTTCTTCGTGTTTTGGGCACGATTCTCCAGCGTCAGCACACCGCCAATCCACCAAGCCTCGATCGGGTGGACGGCAGTTTCGGCTGTGTATGAGCTCTCTATGTCATCTGGCAAGTGAATTGGGCTATAACGTATAACAACGGCTCCTGGCTTTTTGGGCATTTAGCAACGGAGCCCGCTGATTTCACATGCCCCATAAGCCACGTCAAAGCCCTGGAAGGTGGAGGGCAATGCATCTCTTCCGGCATCAGCTCGACCCCACTCGTGTGATTGCCCCGGCTTGAAAAAAAGTGACTCTACTGACGTTCTTGTAGCTTGCGGTTGCCGGTGACATCAACTTCGCTGTTTGGGGCGTGGCTCTAATTCCTGCGTTGTGGGTGGTTAATAGACTTGGATTCGATTACATTGGCTTCAACACGCGTGAGATATGGCTGGAAAATCCAAATGAGGTCAAATCTACGCAAAGTATGAACGTGCGACAAGCGTTGGATCGATCGAAAACCGAATGCCCCCCCCCCCGCTCAACCCCCCAATGGACCATTTGGGGCGGTCCTAATGATATGAACAACGGTTTGTAGATCATCTATGCCAGTTTATTGTCGGTCGACATGCGGGTTTGACCGGCAGTATACCGGCTTCTGAACCAGGCGCCGGCCCGGGTCAGGACCCACACGGCCGCACCTCCGCTGTGAGGGGTAAAGAATGACATTAGTTGCGGGGAAAGGGCGCGCTGTCGATATGCCTTCAACAAGAGTCTCGAATCTTCGAACCAACTGAGCCATCACGAGCATTGACCCTTCGAACATTGACGAATCAATATATAAGTCCAAATACTCACACACTCGGTTGTTCTTGGACTTGCACCAAAGCTGGAGAACCCATTTACTTTTACGACCATCATCAGCAACATTAACTCGTTCCAGCGTCATGTCGAAGATCTCCGACTACAAATTACTTGCGTTTGACGTCTATGGCACGCTTATTGACTGGGAGCAAGGTGCGCTCACCGCTCTTCAGCCTCTCCTAGACAATAACTCCGCTTCAATCTCTCGATCGCATCTCCTCAATGCATTCCATGAATGCGAGGCTGCCCAGCAAGCCAAGACACCGGAGCTGAAGTATGCTCAACTGCTTGCCACAATTCATCCCCAGATTGCGACCAAGCTTGGGCTTGCAGCCCCGACTGCGGCCGAGAGCGAAGCTTTCGGCAACTCTGTCAGCTCTTGGCCCGCTTTCCCTGATACTGTTGACGCCCTGCGACGGCTCTCGTCCCACTACAAGCTCGTTGTCTTGTCCAATGTTGACCGCGAATCGTTCAAGGGGTCCAATGAGGGACCACTTCAGGGCGTGCCTTTCGACCTTATCATCACCGCTCAGGATGTTGGTAGTTACAAGCCGAACCTGCAAAATTTCGTACATATGCTCCGGGAAGTCAAAGAAAGGTTTGGGGTGGACAAAGAACATGTTATTCAGACTGCACAGAGCCAATTTCACGACCATCATCCGGCAAAGGAGATAGGCATCAAGTCATCATGGATCATCCGTCCAGGTGCCGTCATGGGCAACAGAGATCAGGAGATCTGGGATTGGAAGTACGACACTCTCGGCCAGATGGCTGACGCTTTGGAAGCCGAGCTTGGAAAAGTCGATGATTAAAGTAGTACTACTACTAGGTAGCCATAACACTCGTCTACCTCGGTAGTTCAATATGCCAGATTCTTTCTATCGAACTCTCAAGAGCCCTGCTAACAGATGGACCATGGACCGTGAACCAGGGTCTGCATTCTCGTCTGGACTGATGTTTTAGTACATGAACCTGAGTCCGGTTTTGCGCAATTGTCGGTCATTCAAGAAGTAATACTGGACGTTGGCCACAATCGACAGAACAAGAGCCGCGGCAGACAGGCCCGTAATCACTGAGAATCCAGTTTTGTAAAGAGGGGCATCCTCGGAGCGGAACAGCTGCTTGCCGATAATTCCGGAACAGTTTGCAGCCATGATGTGAAGTGCCATTGTGATCGACCGCTCACCGGCAGTCTTGGCGTTGAGGGCCAGCCAGGAGCCATTGATAGCATCTTTACGCCAGGAATGTCAGTAAAATCTGCACGTTCATTAAGAAGCAACGGATCCCTTACGCCACGGCCAGGAGAACGCGATCGAGCAAACGAGGATGCCGAATTTGAGATTCGAGTTTGTCGATTCAACGAGGATGCGATTTCCGACCTGGAATAACGTCAACATGAAGACCACAGCCCATTTTGGAGGGGAACTTACGTTAAAGGCAAAACCTAAGAGAAACCCGAGCGACACGAAGGGACCGCGAACTCCAAGCCTATCACTATTGCCAAAATCAGTCCTAGCCGTACACTACGGCTCGAAAGGTGAATAATTCTTACGCTGACCACCCAAATAACAGGTTGACAAACATCAGCCCCCAAGAACCAATCGAAACAAGCGCATTAGACTCCAGTCTCCCGAAGCCGAAGCTGACGACCAAGCTCGGGGCGTATGAGCCGAATGCCTGGGGAGGGGCCAGGCCAGCGATCGTGAACCCGAGATGGGGCAACAGACGCCAATTTGTCAACTATTATTAATAAGCCAATGCTATATAGAGTAGCAAAGGTCGGTGAGAAACGTACTGTGCTCTTGATTTCGGCCCAAGTGACGTGGCGCTTTGGTTGGGCCTTGGTAGGATCATCGCGCAGCACTCTTTCGTATATAATTTGGGCTTCGCGCTCAGTAAAGTAGCGGTACCCCAAAATAGAGACAGGGTCATTGATCTTGTTTGGAAATGTGGTCAAAAAACCAATACCGATCAAGACTGTGAAGATGCCCTCAAGCTGAAGGATCGTGTTAGCATCGGAGCAAGAAGATACGCGCTGGTGGGAAAGGGTGCTGCTTACAATGAACAGCCATTGCCAGCCGGCCAAACCCGCAATGCCTCGCATGTGGAGACTAAAATTGTGATCAGCTATTATGAGTATGGACGGGAATCATGATACTCACACTCCATAGGCAATGATGCCGGTCATAGCTAATGCAAACAGGTTGCCAACAAAGAACCAAGAGAATCGTCGGCTTATTTCATCCCGCTTATACCATCGTGTGAGAGTGAAAAGTGCCGCAGGGATGAAACCAGCTTCACATAGTCTGTGCATGTGAGCTCCGGCGAAGCATAACATTGGCGACCAACGTACCCAAGAAGAAGTCGCGTCGCCATGAATGAAGCGAGCCCATTCTGAAAAGCCTGGAAGGTAGCGACAAGTCCCCTATCAATTTCAGCTCATGTAACTGTCGCCAAGAGAATGCGAGCCATACCAGGCCACTATCTGGCCACCGATCCAAAGAGTTGGCCCAACACGGTATAAAATCAGGTTGGAAGGAATCTGAAAAGCGATTAGCCAAAGTGACAGATTTGACGGGTCGATCCACGAACCTCAAGCAGAATGATGCCGACGGACAAGAGCTGTTGGCCAACATTGAATTGGTTCTGCGTAATGCCAACATCGGCGAAAAAGTTATCCGTCAAAGCGTTGCCACTATGTTGATGATCAGTATTGGAGAACGAAATAATGATCAATCTTTGACCTACATGTTCCCCCGGTCTAGCTGTAAAGCGAAGAACCCAGCAATCAATAGTGGCATAACAACAAAGTCGATTCTGTGTGGAATTTAGCATGGATGTGACAACGAGTATCAGCTGCACGAATGACGTACTTCCTCAGTAACTTCTTCTCTTCTTCTTCTGTCCATTGCAGATCCGACGAATCACCCCTCTTCAGAAGTTCCTCCGGCCCGGAGTTGAGTTGCTTTTCGTCGCCAATAATATCCATTGTGAATATGGATTTTTCAGATTGGCTGTCCGACGACACGACTTCAACAGAGACGATCACAATCGAGAGTCACGTAAACTTGCAAAGGGCAAAGCGTCTTTATACCAGGGGTTTCCACCTGGATCTCACAATATCATTCTATAACTGCCGAGTATTATCCCGAACAAAATCTTCCTGGACCACAATATGGAGCCTTTTACGCGGGGGGATTTGACATCTCCCCGGTCCGTCAAGGCCCATCGAATACTCCGAAGATATTCAGGTCCCATGGGAGGATGCATGGATTGCACGGCATCCGAAGCCGCTGCGTCCACACTGCGATAAAAGCTGGCCGTGAAGAAAGCTCCGCTTGGCGCACGTGGCGATTCGCAGGATAACGATTGTGCAATCAACAGCGCGGATTGCGATGAAGGAATGGGCCGGAACCAGGTAATCAATGGCTCTCTTCTGCTGCAGGAACCTGGCATTCGCATGCTGTGTCGAGCGAAGAAGCCCGGAAGGGTGGGTGTTGCGGGTATTTGGCCGTTGCGCGATGAGGATCCATCAGCACGCAATCCGGCTATCGGTTCGATCACTCCGACTTCCGAATCGCTGCAGTCTTCAAAGACGACTACTTTTGTCAGTTCATGTGATATCCCATATTTTAAAGGACTATTGTGACTGAATGCATCCAATTCATTCGAGAAGAGACACACGGCATCGTCTGGGGAGATATACTAACGCGACCACAAATGCGTTTCCTACAGTCAGCTCTGGCCTCGACGGCGCTCATGGCGACGAGCCAGGTCGTCACAGCGAGCCAAGACCAGACACCTCTCCTGGGGCCGACTACTGAGCATGGAGCGGCAAGCCGACCGAACATTGTTTTTGTCTTGACTGACGACCAAGACCTGCATATGAACTCCCTCGCACATATCCCCCTGATTCAAGACCACCTTGTCAAGCAGGGTACCTTGTATAAACGGCACTTCTGCACCACGGCCATATGTTGTCCGTCTCGTGCAAGTCTCTGGACTGGCAAGCTGGCTCACAACACCAACGTCACTGATCTGAATCCTCCCTATGGTAAGTACGCCTCGAGATCGTCAAATCTTCTAGGTGCTAACTTGTGGCAGGTGGATTTCCCATCTTCGTGAAGAATGGACACAATGAGAACTACCTGCCAGTTTGGCTGCAGAGTGCAGGTTACACTACCTACTATACGGGGAAAATGTTCAATGCTCATACCATCTGGAACTATGACTCCCCTCACCTCAATGGCTGGAATGGATCCGTAAGTGGTGGAATAACATGCTCAAGGTCCTACTCTGACTCGATCCAAGGATTTCCTTCTTGATCCCAACACTTATGCATATTGGAACGCAACCTTCCAGAGGAACAAGGATGCCCCGGTCAACCATCTCGGGCAGTATTCTACAGACCTCGTGGCACAAAAGGCGTATGGGTTCCTTGATGATGCTGTCGCCGCTGGAGAACCTTTCTTCCTCGGCATTGCACCCATTGCACCCCACAGCAACGTGAACGCCTCAACACTGAACCCAGTCAAAGGTCCCGATGAGGATGTACCCGTGTCGGACGGCGAGTTCAGGGTAAACTTTCCTCAGCCAGCCAAGAGACATGAGCACCTATTCCCAGATGCTAAGGTTCCTCGTACGGAAAACTTTAACCCAGATAAACCCTCGGGTGCCGACTGGGTTCGTCGTCAGCCTAAGCTCAGCGACGAAAATGTGGCCTATAACGACCTCCACTATCGCGGACGCCTGCAAGCCCTTCAAGCTGTTGATGAATTAGTTGATGGTCTCATTGACAAGCTGGAGAAGTATGGCGTCTTGGACAACACATATATATTCTTCACTACGGACAATGGTTTTCACATCAGCCAGCACAGACTCCAGCCCGGAAAGGAGTGCGGCTACGAAGAAGATATCAACATTCCACTCATTGTGCGAGGTCCTGGTGTTCCCAAGGGCGCCATCTCCGAGGCTGTGACAGCACATATCGACCTCGTGCCCACGATTCTCAATTTGGCCAATGCTCCTTTGCGGGCGGACTTCGACGGTGCCCCTATCCCATTGTCTTCGGAGGAGCTGGAGGCAGCGCCCCTGAGCCGTGAGCATGTCAACATCGAATACTGGGGTTGGGCCATTTCTGAGGGCAAATGGGGCTTCAACGGGGGTGATGATAAGCGAGTATTCAACAACACCTACAAGGCCATTCGCGTCATTGGCGAAGGCTACAATCTGTACTACTCAATTTGGTGCACCAATGAGCATGAGCTATACGATTTGAATGTTAGTGCTTCTACTTGGTAGTGAGTATGGATTTGGAGCTGACTGATTACAGACTGACCCTGGCCAACTTCGGAACCTTCTGCACTCTGAAGAAATTGAATTAGCTGCCAAGTCTACCATTCTCGGTTATTCTCTGCAAAAGGTCCTTCCAAGGCTTGACGCACTCCTTTTCGTGCTCAAGTCTTGCAAGGGCGTGACCTGCTCCCAGCCCTGGCGGTCGCTGCACCCTCAAGGAGGTGTTACTACTTTACGCGAAGCCCTTTCACCACAGTTCGACAATTTCTATGTCCAGCAAGTAAAGGTCGAGTACAACCGCTGCGAGCTGGGGCATATTATCGCTGCTGAAGGTCCGCAATTCGAGGCCGAGGGCGATGTGTACTGGAAGGGTCAAAGTTGGAGCGAATGGACCTGATTCTGCACTTCACGACAAACATGGAATATTTGTATATCATTTCTTGCCTTCTATCTACCAAGATCATGTAGGCTCATATCTGAAAATGCGTTCTAAGATAGAGATAAGAAAAATAGTGACGCAGGTCAACCCAAACTGAGTGAAGGCTAAAGACTTCATCCCGGCCGAATTGAGATCCTCCGCAAGTTCAGTCGCGCTGCGATCACTTTCCCATTGACCCGGTGCAGAGATCCAATCTCTGGCATCTGCTTCCTCTATGGCAGCGTAATACTCGTTCGCCATCTTGGTGTAGCCGATATCATTCGGGTGAAGGTTGTCCGCCAAGTCTTTTGTCGAAACAGCTTTATTCATGGATACCATGAATACCTTTTTCCCAGACGAAACATATTCAGAGACCAAGTTGGGAATGGCAGCATTGAAAGTGTCGATCCGAGGGAGTGCGTCACGGTACTTGTTAGGTCCCGCCGGAATAATTTGACACACAAACACAACAGCCTCTGGGCTGTTTTCGAAGATGATGTCGATAAGGCTTTTGAGTCGCGTAGGGCCGTTGGGAGGATCCACTTCGTTTTTCATATCATTAGTTCCTGCATGCAACAGGACAATATTGGCTGCTGCGTGGAGACCGACTGTGCTCGAATTCGATATCTGGTCAATGACAAAGGCTCGGTGTCCTTCATGACTATTGTCGGCCATGCTTCCAGTTGCCAGACCACCCACAAAGTTGACTTTGTTTCCTCGTTGCACTAAAAGGTCATGGAGCTCGCCCCGGTAGCCATTTCCGTGTGTGCTCTGGGCACCAAAGGTGATGGAGCTGAGTGTGACACATTAGCATGATTACATTGGTATGTTGTATCAAGGGATCAAGTTGAGAGCATATCGATAGATTTCCGCAAATAATGAAGCAACTCGTCGGGAATTCCATGCCAAAGACGTACTCTCCAATGGGTAGAACTCGCAATTCCACTCCGTTGGCGATCTGTGGACGGACCTGTACATTCAGGACTGTTGACCTTTCCGCCGAAACTGCTGTCCACAAAGTTGGGACCAAGAAGGTGAGCGTCATCAATGTCGCCCAAGGGCTTCTGGGCTGTCGTGCATCGTGCCGCTGACCCAGCGAACTCTTCAGCATTGCGAAACAGAGCCCAGTAGTAATCTCACACCTGAAGGAACTAAATAACATAAATCCGGCGATACCTTAAGGACTTCCACGTGGCGCCGTCATGCGGAAATCCGCTGCTTTTAAAGAGTTTGATAGAGAGCCTGCGGCACAGGAGGCAGTAACCCCACCCTCCAAGACGCTACTGTACCGTGGAAACCGAGGCCAATAATGCCAAGCTGTGAGAAGAAGCATGGGTCGTATCGAAGCGCCTGGGCAAGCTCGAGTGATGGATACATTATCAAAGCATTGGACAGATTACGCCGCACTCAAAATCCGCCAAATACAGGTATCATCCAGACAGACCCCAACTCCAGAGCCGCCTCAACATCTCTTACCTTGATTGAATGCTCCGAAATTCTACCTACTAGATAATTGGCGACACATCTAAAGCGGAATTCTACTTTTATCAGTTTTGAGCCTATTTGAAGTATAGTATAACGGTTCAAAGGGAGCTCACGTTCAAGGAGTGTAGCCTTTTTGCCCATCCCTTCCTTTTTGAGGCCATGTCATTATTGGCTGCTGTACCAAGGCGTTGGTTGGTACCGAAATCAACTGCGGGCACGGCGTGTTGGACCTTGGCACAAGACCCCATGCCTTCTAACAAACCAATCAGGGGGATTGGGCTACTCAAATTTGCAGTGGCCAAGATTCTTTGCTGCATTAAAATGTTACATACGTAGGTATGTATGGGTGACAGGCCCATCCATACATACCATAGGCGTGATAACACTACGCTGATCATCTAATCCTGCCACGTACTCAATGACGGGGTGCCCTGGGTGGTGCAGTCGTCTACCGATGGGCTGTCAAAGTCGCGGCCTTGATTTAAAGACCCCTAAATCTGGGGAAGATGCTGCATCGACATCGGATGACTGGATCAGCAGCCGGGTAGTGAAACTGGCTCGCGGCTGTGAAGGTTTTGTCTGAAGCCGGGACAGACAGTGATGGAGATGTGACTTCTGTAATGTAGACATAGGATGCGTAGGTCTGGATACAGCGAGTGACTTCAAAAGGAAGAGTTAATGTCGTAGAAGGCATATCCGTTCATTTTTAAAACATAGAGCTCAAATAATGAGTAGCAAGAATGCCACCATTTTTAATTTGATGTCGAGACTAGGATATCGTCACTTGACAGAGATACTGGTAGATGCAAGATCACCCGCCAGCGTGGAATGTTTGATGGCCTCGAGTACACCAAGTCCTTCGGCTGTCAGGGACGACAGCACAAAATACCCGACCCTTTCGAATGCTTTGCAAGACGGAGAAATGTCTTTGACCGCAGATGTGCCACCAGACTTTCTCAAAATGATGCCATGCAGCGATGCCCGTTCTATTTCCGCCATGCTTTCCTGCTCTAACAACGGAAATCTTGTCATGTTGAGTATCGGAAGGCAGAACAGATCTTGATGTCCTCGAGCCGCAGAGGAAAGCGTGTCCATGACGCACTCAGCCCACGTACCTGATAGCAAGAGCCTACCCCGGCCAGTAGCCTCGTCGACGTCTAGTCGTGATACTGGGCATAGAACACCGCGAAGCTCAAGCAAGCCGGGACCGATTGGGGCCGTGGCATCAGTGACTTTCTCCCCTGTTTTCGCGTCAAGTACCTGCACAGCGACAACTTTCGCCAGCATCTCGACTTCGCACCGACGGGCCTCGTTGGCGAGCGTGAAAGGCAGGAGTCGTTGAGAGACCGCCCCATCAACAGATATCCAGGACCACGAGGGTGCCTGACATGGCGACGGCCGGCGTTTCGGAGATCCTTCCAAGGCCCAAAGGAGGTCAAATTCAAGATGTCGACGCCACAAGCCCGCGAGATAGTCCGCGTTGGTCCCCGGCCCCTGAATAGCACGCGCTATACCGGCAGCAGCCATGTGGCGGTCCCCCGCAACAGTCAATTGGCTGCGTGTGTATTTGCTCACGAGCTCAAACCATCTCTGGTGTAGACGTAGCCGATTTCGCGGCTCGATATCGCGTGAGGACCCTGCAGCGGCGGCGGCGGCGAGGAAATCGAACGCCCCACGGTAGCCCGTGACGCTGTTGTCCGAGAGGGATGCGACAACCTCCGGGGCTTTGTATGCGGGGTTAGGTTCCCGGGGAATCTGCGATACTCGCTCTGACTTCCGCAAGTGTGCTTGTTCCGCGCTCTGCTGGCGCGCCCGTTCGCGCGCGGCATGACGGCGCTCACGAGCGGCGTTTTCTTCGAGTCTGTGGCGCTTGCGGGCTCGATAAAGGTTCCAGGCCTTATTGTAACGGGCGCGGGCCTGGCGCTCGTGCTTGGAAGGAAAGAGGCCATATGTGTTTGGCAGCTTGATGGATGCTGAAGGCCTCGAGGGTGCCGAGTCCTCTGGAGGACTGAAATCCTCTGGCTCAAGAGCAGGGGGCGCTGATGGTTGTGGCGGAGGGAGGAAAGGGTCAAGCATCTCTGCCCATCTTTGAAGGTCAGGGAATTCGTGCTTGGTGCCGTCACGCGCCAGGACATCGACTCCATCGTATATGCCCTCGGGCTGCAGCTCCGATGCGAAAAGAGTGCTGCATTCGAAAAACATGAGGGAGGCACCAAAGTGGATGATGCGCTGGGAAAGGAGGCGTTCCTGGAAGGCCCAGGCTCGCGTGTTCAGTGGACCGCCGTCAACCTCAGTGTGGAACATGTTGGTCTTGAAGGCTGTGTTAGCCGCCTTGACAGTCAGACTCCGTCGGCTCGAAGGATCGCCGAGGATGTGACATGGAAAGTATGGCAGAGGGTTCCTCTTCTTGAAGCAGCCGCCAGAAGATTCGGCCGAGCCAGTAGCAGATATCGTGCAGGACGCCTGAGCATAGACGTTGGCCATTTGCCTGGATTCCGTCTCCCAGTCCTGTAGGCTTCGTTGATTGCAGACTGAGGATGTGTCGTGATTAAAACATTTTTGCATGATGCAAAGCGAATCAATCCACAAATAAGAGAAGCCCAGTTCCTGCGTTATGTGAATGGCATCGATGAAATTTTGAGACAGCTTGGCAGGCTCAATTTGCCGACACAGATCGTTGAGATTATGGTCTGTTAGTGTCACGTTTACACTGGAGCCCCAGCAGTGACTGAGGGCAAGATAATCGACACGAGTACCCCAGCATTTGGTTTGCACCAGATGAGCTCGGTATCCAACATCGTCGGAAGTCCTTTCGATGAAGATAAGTCGACTGGGCAGCACTCTCCGGGACGCCTTTCTAGCACGGCACCTGGGATGATTCGACTCGCAATCGTGCAACCAAGCGCGCACCAAGTCCAGGCACAAAGATGAGTCTGTAGAGAGACTGAGCTCTCGCTCCAAAGACGCTGAGGCCATGATTAGAGAGCATCCGATCTGGGCAAGGTAGTGGCCACTCACAGTTAAGATCGTCCTCGATGAGAATTTCATGCCCAAGGGAAACGGATCCCATGAATAATTGCATGTATAGATGAGACTCATCACGCACGTTCTTCCTCAGTTGCTTCCAAATCGCCAGTTTCAGTCCCGACTGATCCGAGCCCAGGAGGGGTTGTCTCTCCGCGGCCTTCATAGTAACTCCCATCGCCCCCTGGACGGGCAGAGAAAGCTCTCTGGGGCCTTTCGCACTATTCAACTCGCTGTTTGACATGGAGAACCAGAGCACCGTGCACAAGTGGCAACACTTGCTGGACGCAGATGTCTTCAGGGCGTCCAAGGTTAAGTTGAGATGATGCATCTCCCGTCTGCGCGTCAATGGCCAGGAGGAACCCACGAGCAAACGGGAGGCTCGTACCAATCGCTGACAGCCTTTGCAGACGCTGCTCGTTACACACTTGTCCCGAGCCTGCACTTGAGGTGTCGTCTGCGAAATCCATGTTTGTCGCGACGAACTCAATGTCCATCGATTGCTGACATAACTCAGAGGCGGGACTTGGTAGACGACATGGAGTAAACCGCAACTGACCGCTTCTTGCAAGTCATGTCTCCGAGTTCGAATGAAGATGTGTAGGTACGCCGTTCGGCGCAAGTACCATAACGCAAGGGAGTGGAACGAACGGCGGAGGGCATGTGTTGTCCTGAAGTAGACGTGGTCGCTGAAATTCCAGATGTGGTAAAAAAGCACAACGACATGATAGATGACGAGAGGCGACAGAGCCAAAGTGACATAAGCTAATTCGAAGTAGGCGAACGTCTCGTCAAAGCTTGACGTAAGGGATGCGACTATGCCATACGGAATGATGGACAGATGTGCAATCGCCACATTGGCGACGAAAATCGTGAAGGCCGTGTCATGAGCGCCCTCCAGGGCGACAGGTGTACGCCATGACATTGCACGTCGACACGGTCGCTGTGTTGTCGTTTAGTGGTCTAGCTCAATTCAAGATCGACGTGATAAGTTCGCCGACAACAAAGGGTTCGCCGATCGTCTGCCTGACGCTCGACTCATCAATTGACGAGCATGAGAGGTGATGCTCTTTATGAGACACTCACACACAATCACGGTGAAGGGGAAATGGTGCGGCTGAGCACCACCAGTCGAGGCCTCTGGATGTTGTCTAGCTTAATCGAGATCGCAGCCTAGCAGTGCCACCGCCATTAGCGCGCAACAGGACGTTGCCATACAACGAAGTAGATCATGGTGTCATCTGCCCATCAATGTCTCGTCTTCCGTTCTCTTGGTCGTTTGTGACCCCGTCGAGCCATCGCCAGCAGCCGGCGCGAAAGAGGGTACCAAGCCCTGTCTAGCTACCATACACGCATCCTGAACCCATGCACAGTCAATGCCCAAGCAACCCGCCAACTTTGCCCAAGCAGCCCAGGAACCCGGTCGAGGGGGGACCCTTACAGGGAATGGGCTCCAGGGCCATTCGTACGACGACTGGGCCCATGGGCCCGGCCCGCCGGGAAGCGCGCCCACTACTGAAGATCAGACCATGTGGTCACTGGCTTGCAGGAGCTCAAGTTGGGGGGCGGGGGGGGGGGGGGGGGGGCGAGAAGCCAGGTAGGCGGAAAGAAATTGTGATAATGCATACGACTCCTGGCACGAACGAGGCAGAGGTAGTACATGTAGGCCAAAGACACCAAGGGTCATCGGGCATGAACGAATGGCACATCCCTACGTGTCTGGGCATTCCCACCCTCTCACGAACGTGCCTCTCCCCTTGAACTAGCCCAGCTTTGGGCCCCCAGGGTCGCAACGAGTGTCTGCTTCGAGCAACGCCCGCCGGGCTGAGTTATGGCTGGTTCGTGATTGGAAAGACAACTCGCCAGGTTCTGGGCCCGAACTCCCTCAAGTCCCACGCCATCTGCGAGGACCGCTAAGAGACATGGATGAGGTCTAGTCGATGTGTGAAAAGGTTGCTAACCAGAAACTAGGTAGGTAGCATCATGTGAATTGTGCGGGGCCACCCATTTCGCCTCCCCCCTTCCGGCATCGATATAAGATGAACATGGGACGTCCCGGCTCGACCCCCTCCAGCGGTGGACCTGGGGTTGCGTTACCAGTTTTCCGGTCGGTCGAATCCTGTCCTTTGCCCTCAGTCTTCTTCTTTCCTGGCATCTCAGCAGTCATGATCACAACACTCTTCTCAGAACAGGTGACGGCGGTGCCGCTGGTCGCAGCGCTGTTTGTGCTCTACCTGGCACGCACAGTGATCGCCTGGGCCAAACTGAGACAGTTTACTGGGCCACGCTGGACCGGGGTCAGCAACATCCCGCACGGCAAGGCCGCACTGTCGGAAAAGTGCCATGAGTGGTATGCTAAGGTTAGCAAGGAACACGGTACGTGAGGTTCACGAGATGACGGTCCCCCCCCCTCGTTCTTGTTCTTGGTTATCATAGCAGCAAAAGGTTGCAGCAATCCACGTAGCTGACAACGAAAGGTCCCATTGCGCGAATCGCGCCTGGCATCTTATTGACCTCGTCGCCCGAGGTCTGGGCGCACGTCAACCGACAGGCTGGGTATAAACGATCCGAGTGGTACTACAATGCGTGCCGGGTCGAGTATCGCCGCGATAACGTCTTTACCCAATCTGACAATGCGAAGCACGAGCAGCGGAGGAAGCAGATGGCCCCTGGCGTGAGTGACTTTGCTCATCCCAGGAACGCATCTCAATCGTATTGACACTTGGAATAGTACTCAGGGCGAGAGAACCCGGGCCTCGAGGCGTCCATTGACGAGCGCCTTGAGGACCTGCTGAAACTCGTGAGGACCAAGTACATTTCGACGCCTGACCGCATCGTGCCCATGGATCTAGCCAAGAAGGTGCAATTCTTCACGCTCGACGTCATCAGTGCTGTCGGCTTGGGCAAGACATTTGGTATGCTGGCAGCCGACGAAGATGTGGACTCGTATCTTCAATCGAGTGAAGAGGGTCTCGCTGCTGCAAATGCTGCATGGGCCCTAGGTGCATCGTGGCTCGCGCAGTCGCCTGTGCTTGGTCGCTTCATTGCGCCCTCGCCGCGCGACAACAATGGATTTGGCAAGATGATGGCAACTTGCTTCCGCTTTGTCGACGAGCGCGTCGCTCGTGGCGACACCGATAAGCGCTCCGACATGTTGGCATCATTTATCCGCCACGGTTTGCGCGACGATGAGCTGAAGTCCGAGGCACTCGAGCAGATTATCGCTGGCTCTGACACAACGGCCGGTGCTATACGCGGCGCGCTGCTACTCGTTATGACGAACCCACGCGTTTACGCACTGCTGCAGAAGGAGATTGACGCGGCGGTGCGCGAAGGCCGGGCGCCGGCCGTCGGGAACGGCCTCATTTCTCAGGCTCAAGCAAAGGAATTGCCTTTCCTGCAGGCTGTCGTCCGCGAGTCACTGCGCGTGCGAACACCTGTGGCCAACCTGTTCCCGCGCGACGTGCCGGCAGGCGGCGACACCGTTGTCGTCGACGGCGAGAGAATTGCGCTGCCAGGGGGCGTGTGCATTGGATATTCTGCCTACGCGATGCACCGCGATGAGGCCCTCTACGGCGACGACGCCCAGGCTTTCAGGCCAGAGCGCTGGTTTGAGGACGATAAAGACAAGCTGGCGGCTATGGTGCGGACGAATGATATGGTCTTTGGCGACGGCAGATTCACGTGCCTCGGCAAGCCCGTCGCGCAGATGGAGATGGCCAAGACCATTTTTGAGGTACGTCTGTTTTTCTGCTTCTCCCCCTGTCGTATCCCTCCCCTTTGACCCAGTTTCCTGCTCGGCGGCATCGTTCCTACTGGGTAGACACTGTTGGGTCTGCATCTCTGATGCCCTCTTGCTGACTCTCGTTCGATATACGCAGCTGTTGCGGCATTTCGACGTTGCTCTCATCGATCCGATTAAGCCGTGGAAGACACGCAATCTGTTAGGGTTATTTGCGATTTCCGACATGTGGGTGCAAGTAATGGAGCGATCGTAAGCATTTCGAAGCCACCCTTTGATCAATGCTCAAGCTCGGGAGGGGGCAGGACGGCACGAGAAGGCACGTCAGGAGAGGGAGACGACAAACCTAGGCGGTTGGCCGGGGGGCCGTGGCGCCAGTAATCGTGACGCCGTCATTCGATGGCTCAGATCCCTCATTAGGACACGCATGTCCCGTCAACGTGGATCTGGAAACCGGAAATCGTTTTTTGCTGTTGCCCTCGTGGCCAACCATTGATCCGGGCCACAGAATAATGGGGGCTGATATTCTCTCATTGACCTTATGCGGCCTGGAGCATATTCTCTGTGAGCGCCATGCCCAGGACATTTCTCAGATCTGGCCTAGGGCGAACGGGGGGGAGCGGAAAGGACAAGCCCTACCCTAGCTTGCCTAGCTAGACACGGCGCAAAAGCCAATCACGTCAGTATCTCTCATCGAGTTCGAGCCACTGTTCCAGACAAGCCACGCATGATAGGACGATCAGGCGAGGGCAGAGGCTGGGCCCGGGGGGACCGATTCGAGGGCGGGGTTTGCTTTCCTTTGGTATGCTGGTACTTCATAAGTCATGGCAAGGCTTCTGCCCTCTCGTAGCTCGATTCGCACTCGCATCCCCCCTTGACCCTACACTCGCGCGCCTGGCACTGAGCTTGACCTGACTCTCGACTCTCTCGCCGTTACTGGGTTCATCTGGTTCTAGCATCGATTTTCGTCCCGTTCCGTCAAACCCAGTCATTTTCCGCTGGGACATCCTCACGCAGCTAAACCACACTTGGAATTCTCCTGCCATGTCGACCAGCCAGGAGGCTTCGGCCGCCTCCCCACCCCCCGGTCCATCTTACAAGAAATCCCCCTCACCGAGGTCCCCTCGGTCGCCCAAATCTCCACGATCGCCCAGTTCCAACGCTCCAGGAAGCCCAGCGAACCTGGAGCAGGTTATCGAGCAAGCGAACGAACAGGAGCACTTTACGGCGGATCAAGTCCCTTTTGTGAGGCCCCAATCAACACTGTAGCGCTGCGAACATACTAATTGTTTGATGCAGAATGAATCGGATGTCGACAGTGACGAAGGCATCGACAATGAAAGGTAGCACGCACAGTCTCCATCTCACTGAGTCTATAGCTCATACGTGGTATAGTTTCGTCTCATCGACGGCCTCGTTGACGAGCAGCATGCTTGAGTACCGCCAGCTCCATGGCCGCACGTTCCAGAGCTACAAGTCGACAGAGTACTGGGGCCCCAACGACGATCGCCAGAATGACGGTCTTGATATAGCCCACCACTTTATTACGCTGCTTCTCGGCGACAAGCTCTATGAGGCACCGATTGACGAGCCCAAACGCGTTCTTGATGTCGGAACCGGCACCGGCATCTGGGCCATTGATGTTGCCGATGCTCACCCAGCCGCCGAAGTGACGGGCTTCGATATCAGCCCTATTCAGCCTTCCTGGGTGCCACCCAACTGCAAGTTCCACATTGATGACGCCCAGCTCGAGTGGACGTACCCGGCCGCGAGTTTCGACCTGATCCACATCCGTGCCCTTTACGGCAGCATAGGCGACTGGCCTAAGCTCTACGGGGAGGCCTTCAGGGCGCTCGAGCCTGGTGGTTACCTAGAGAACTTTGAATTCACTATCAACCTGCGGAGCGATCTACCTTCGGTGCGCGATGACCCGAAACACGTCTTCAAGCAGTGGGGTCAAGTTTTCACCGAGGCCATGGACCGGCTCGGCAAGACGGCCGAGATTGGTCTCGATGGGCGCATGAAGCGCTACATGGAGCAGGCTGGCTTCGAGGACATTGTTGTCAAGGACTACCAGCTCCCCTGTGGCGGCTGGAGCAGTGACCCCCGCCTGAAGGAGGTCGGCATCTACAACCTTGCTTTCCTCGAGGAGAGTCTCGAGGGATTCGCCCTGTTCCTATTGAAGGAAATCATGGGCTGGGAGTACATCGAGATTCAGCTTCTGGTCGCCAATATGAGGAAGGCCATTCGTGATTTGAAATTGCGACCTTACTACATCGTGTAAGTCTTCATTCTCTGCACACATTCGTATTACGGTTGAACTGACACCCTTCCTAGACCTAATGTTTATGGTCGGAAACCCTTGACAGCCGAGTAGCTGATTGTCTCCGTCCGGAATCCAGTAATTCTGAAGAGCCAAGCCCCCCCCCCCCCCAAACAGTATTGTCTTCACTCAGTATCTAGGATGCTAGCGACAGCTTGCAATGTTGCGTATTTACATCTTTGTTAGCGAATCAATCTTTTTGACTGGAAGCGATAAATGATGACATTTCCTACAATCTCTTACGCCTTTTTACCATATGACCTTCCCCTTTGAGATGAATGCCGTTCTGCCGCATGGTCCGGTGTGCCTTCTCTCAATCCAAGGGCCCGCGTGAGCATCTGGGCGTACGACTGACCTGAGACTTCTGGATCCTTGCAATATACTATCCCGACCTTGGTAAAGAAAACGCCTCTGTTGTTCCTGCAGGACTGGATTGTCAACTGAAGAGACTCTTGATATCTTCCATGTCTAGGAAGACATTTTCCCAGAGCTGAACATTAGAATCTGAGAACAGTAACTTTCGTCGAACGAGGTCTGTCAAGCAGGTACGGGGGGTTGAACCTGGGTGCTGGACATTTTTTATTGTCGCGAAACACAGCAAGCTCTTAGGACAGAGTTCTAGATTCAGTACTGATTATGTTGCTATGTATGACGAACCGAATATTCGCTAGCTTCGCTGCAGGTCTCTTGGCTGGACGGTACATTATCGGCTAGGACCAATGAAAGTCTTGTGACTATGTCAGACATGTTAGATCCGAGAAATGCATGGTGGTTGGACAAAGATTTGCCGCGTCTTGAACAGTTAGCCGACTCCTACATCAGCCTCTGCGCGCTGAAGCCTCCAAAATGAAAGTATAGACAGATGTATTCGACGCAAAGAACGAGAGGAACGGTACGACAAGGCTCCAATTGAGCCCTCAAGCTCGGAATCCTCCTAATTCTGGGCATCATCAAGATATGTGGGTGGGATGTCACTCGACCAAGGCCAAGATGGCATCAGCCTAAGAAATCGAAACCCTTAAAGGTCACCTCTGCCGCCTCTGCCTCACCGTCCCCAGCATGTGCAAACACGCCGAGGATAGGTCCCGTGAAGTCCCTGGCATCGAGAGCCAGAGACTCCATCGACCCAACTTCGAACCAGTCTTTTTCGCTCCCCCTACCAGGCTCCGCCAACCGAATCTTGGCCGCATAGCTGTACCTTAACGGAGCCGCCGAGATGCGCAACTCCACCTCCTCCACTTTACCGATGATATTGCGGGATATACGGCTGCTGAGACCTGACGCCGAGTTGTGGATAGAATAGACTAGTGAATTCGTGGCAAAGTCAAAGGCGATGTATGCGGATCGTATTGGGTCCTTGTACAGTGCGAGACCTGCCTGCACATTCTTGCCGAGAGGTCCCTCGATGACCGTGATACGAGTAGAAGCTATACTATCAAGAGATCGCTGACGGCTGCCAAGAAACGTGCATGTATCTACGGGGGACGTAAGATCCGTCCGACTGGGGGTGAGCGTTATGGTCTTCCCGTCGTCGGTATGGCGATATTTGGACGGATCGTAGTCACGGATGTAGAGATCCTCGACAAACGGAGGCGCCGTGAGCGGAGGATGACTGACTATGGACAACGACGCCTCCCTCGTGAAGTTCATCCTGGGTTGGCGAACCACAGGCCAATCACCAGAGGGCCAGTTAACGGGGGACAAGAAGGATTCGCGGCTTAGACCGAGGTTCCCGTCCTGCTGCTTCCTGACGCCAAGGACAGCGGCCCACCAGCGGCCGTCGTAGTCCTGGAACAGATCGCCGTGGCCAATATTTTGTATGTACTCATCCTTGCCATCTGCAGTCATGATAGGGTTGGTCTCCGCGCTTTCATATGGGCCCCAGATGTTGGTGGACCTTGCGATGGTGAGCATGTGGTGCTCAAAGGTACCGCCTTCTGCAGCCAGCAGGTAGTAGTATCCATCTACCTTGTAGATGTGCGGGCCTTCCGTATCGTATTTGGCCCACCCAGTCCAGATTTCTTTGGCTTCTGAAAGGACCTTGCCCGTGGTGATATCGATTTCGATTTGCTTAATGTTGGCGGTGGGTTGTTTATCGCGACGCAACATCCAGCTCCCCTGTACGTAGACGCGGTCATCGTCATCGAAGAATAGGCTGGTGTCAATACCGTTGAAGTCAAAGTAGACAGGGTCACTCCATTTGTTACTCCAGATGTTCTCTGTGCTAATGATAAAGTTTGCGCAGTGGTATGACCCGCTGTGATCCGTGTTGGTCGTTACAATGTAGAAGGTTCCCTTGTGGTAGTGGATACTCGGGGCAACAATGCCCAGAGTTCCTACAAGGGAAAATCCGGTGTCAAGCGTGACATGAATGGTTCCAGCTTTCTTCAGACTGAGCTGTGATTGCCTATTCAGCGCATTTCCTATTGTAATGTAAGCCAGAGCTCCGTAAGAGTTTCGGCCTCTATATATCGAATCGAGGTCCATCACAGGGCATACCAATATGCGTCCATCCCTTTAAGTCCCTCGATGCGTATATGGGTAGTCCTGGGAAGACATGAAACGACGACGTGCAGAGGAAGAACGTTCCGTCGACGAATACCACAGAGGGATCGGGTGAGAAGCCTGGCACAATGGGATTCGAGTACTCGATGGCGCGGCTGAGCGACCCCATGGCGTCTTGTTGGTACCGTATCAAGTTCTTCTAGCTCTCTTCGGGGACTTTCTGAGAACCAAAAGAGTGAAGAGGTGCGGAGAGCAGATGTGCCAGCGGCATCAAGATGGCCAGTGAATATATTCCAGCTTCGACACACTTAGCTGAAATATTCATGATCAAAACGGCCGGCCCCTCACGTGCTCCGTCATATTCGGGATGTGGGTGGCACGATACCGCTGCGGGGGGAAGTGCGCGGCGGTAGCGGTTGGGTGGGAAGAATCTCCGCGGATAAATAGGTCACACGCGGCTCGCTTTTGCCAAGCCTTGTTCAACTCGGGAATCCCGTGCTCAACTCATTCGAGACCTTTGAATTCAACGTCGCGATCAGATCCAAGAGGGTTGAAAAAATAGTTTTGGCGCGTGCACGGAGTGCCTGGTTAGTGGTTTTGTGGGTGATCTGCAGCAGGTCGACCCCGGCTTGTCGGAGTTTTTCGACCTAGTACCAGCAGTCAACAATAGCTCGACGAGTAAGGCGATCTCTCGTGAGGAAGAACTCACGCAAGGCTCGCTGTTAGCCCTTAAGGCCTCGAATGGAACAGCGGTCGCCGCTGCTACAAGATCACTAGCAATCTCTGTCTTTCGAAGGGCCAGCATACCCTCATCGTTTATGAGACCAAGAAGATGGCAGCAGCCGTGTGCTTCTGCTCGTCGCAGAATGGTAAGTCGCAGACAGTGGAATGTGATGACGAGGTTTGCTTTTTGAGCCCAGAAAGCAAGCTTCTGAAATGAAGTTGCTGCAGGAATATTCGTCGTGTGGGACGCGGGATCCCTCAACCAAGGAGGGAGTGAGTCCAGAACAGCGCAGAAGTTCAAGTAAGCCTGCATAACGCCGGACGCGGGCATGTCTAAAGGCTGTACTTCCGTTGTCACCCCGGATCGACTGTACATTCTTGCCAGGACTTTCAGATCGAGTATGATATCGGCCCCATCTTTCCACAGCTTATTACTTAACGTGAAGCCAGCTTGCAGCCGGGATTCATATGAGCAGGTGAATAGTGGCATGTCCGGGCTAAGTAATCCAATATCGCCCTCTCGTTCATACGCCAGAGTGAGCGGCTCCTGGAGACAGACTTCTTGAACAGTGGAAGGGACATGATTCAAAATCGATGCAGATTTGTCGGCCGCGTACAGCGTCCAAACTACGGCACGCATGATTGTTGCCTCTGGTTGCGGCATGTCATCAAACGATCGCTCGTCGTAAAGCCTCATCAGAAGTGCCAGATGATGAGCGTTACTCAGAACGTACAGAGCTATGTGCGTCTTACCAAGACAGTGAAATGCGCTGGACTGCAGTACTCTAATGACGAGGGACGAAGAGGTTGGGTGTTCGATGTCTCGCTCCTCAAAGTGTGCGAACATGCCTCGAGAGGCACGCAAGAAGCAGCGGGGCATGTCGGGGTTGTCGAGACTGCATATCATACCGGAGTTCGTTCCTGCACAGATGCTCGCGCACAAGGCCGTCAGCAGAGTGAATGCTCTAAACTCTTCCAAGCTCTTCATAGACAGCCCAGATGAGTGTCTGGACTGCGGTGTGGTTTCGTCGGGTAACAATGGGCGGGATAGTAGAGCGATCGAGGCGATGAGGTTCGTCGGCTGCACTATCGGGATAAGAGGGTACGAATATTGCATGAAAACGTCAATGCATCTCCTCGCCGCATGGTCAACCGACGACCCAAGAGTCATGAGGTCTTTCGCCAGCGCCTCCTGGATTTCTGTGGGTGTGGGAAGCCTTTCCTCGGAAAGTAATGTCAGTTCGACGGAAGCCCTGTCCTGGCAGCGATGTGATTCAACCCGAGATGCAATCGTGGGGGACACGGGCGCTGGGAAGCGATCTACATGAGATAGCTCTGCTAACGGCAGAGTCGATGTTATCTTGACGGGTGATACGATGTCAGTTAGTCCGTTGGCTGGAGAATCGGGAATCGTTCCTCGCGGAGACCCCCCACTGGGCAATTGCGTTGGCTCAACGGAGGTCCGAGCTTGCTGGCTGCGAGCTTTTGGGCCTCGCTTTCTCCTCGGAAGCTCATATTTGCAGTCAATGCCGGATGAGCGGCAGTTGCTGCAGCAAGGCGTACGGGCATCGCATTTGACCTTGCGTACCCTGCAGCTATCGCATGCCAACGTCAGGAGCCTGCCGCCAGCCATGCCGATGAGCCAAGGCAGAGACCCGGCGGCATGGAACGGCCTGGCGTGGTCTCGGACTTTCGTCGTGCAGCACGTGTGATACCGTGGATCGTGTTCGGTGTGTGGTGAGTTGTGCCAATTGACGACGTGGGAGAGAAAGTCCGTATGTGTGGGGTTGCCGTGACTCGTAGTCCTAATGTCTTGGCTTTGAATGGAGATGGAATGAAACAATTGAATTGGAACGGAGAAAACAAATGAACAGGAGAAACAGGACAGATTGGAGGAACCAGGAAGTAGAGAAAGTGCGAGGATGTGGCCTTAAGACTGGTTTCTCCGAGAACTGACATAATCATCCTATTACAGAGGCACTAACAAATAGCCCCTGACCAGAACTCGATGTGGGCCAAGATGGCTACGGACAAAACCAGCCAAACCCTCAGTAACATCTGAGCGCCATTTAGAACATCCCCAGGAAAGAGATGATGAGTAATTACGTTTGCAATGTCCGAATGTTTCGTGAGGCAAAGATTCTGCCATTGAATTTCCGCTGTATTCAGGTGAGAATACGAGGCAGCAGGCGACACGCGTGAAATTCACGATCTGCCGCAATTCATGATTGATCCTGCCTTGTCGAACATAAAGTTACACATCATCGGCGTGGACTCGACCCTGGTCATCCTAAGCTAAGCATTTATCCAGGGATGTGATGTCCCCGCAAACTCCAGCTCGATATCCAGCCTAGATCCCCTTCCATAGGTTACCCCGTGGGATTCTCGAACAGCTCTCGAGAGCCCTCGAACATGCGACGTTAATCAATACTTGATCGTACGGAAGCAAGATACGGGTGTCAAAATCAGATGATGGGCTGGTGGTCTTACACCGACCTTACTCTACATTGAATCACCACCAGGTTTCTGGGTACCTTCCAAACGAGACTCTTGTACGGAAGACTTTGACTCTATACCACATCCCCTCAAGCATCGCATTTCGCTGCTCTGCGCTCGCAACCTCTATCTGTGCGGGGCTTAGGCCGAAAGTCCAGGGTGGCTTCCTTTTGGTCGGTGGATGAGCTAGCTCGGGTCGCCAACGAGTCTAGAAACGTGGGTCGGAAACTGATCACCAGCTTTTCTCAGCGGCTCGACCCAGAGTAGACGACATCCATACAGCTTGGCGCATCCAATACGGAATCAGGCTTCCAGCACATATAGAGATACAAGCGCGTTTTCGGCCGGTGTAAGTTAATTTCGACCTCACACGATCTGCCTGCTATGTGGCCTTTTCCTGTCCAAGTTACCAGGTCAAGCGAGGGCTTCTGTTGACGTATTGCACAAACAGGCCTTTTGATTCTCATACTGCCGATCAACTTCGGCTACGAAGTCCCTCTGCTCGGCAACTGTCTAGCCATTCCGTCCTTTCTCCAGAAATTCGGCAGCGAAACACCCGGTGGCAAAATTGAAATCTCGACACATTTTCAGCAGCTTTGGAACGGAGCAGCCACGGTCAGCATCTTTGTCGCAGCCTATTCAGCTGGCTTCGCCTCCGATATTCTAGGCCGCCTCCTCGTTATATACATTGGCTGCATCCTCTGCATTGTAGGTGTCGTAGTCCAGAGCTTCGCCGAATCTGCCATGACCATCTTTGGTGGCAAGCTTGTCAGCAGCCTGGGATTTGGTCTCGGCCATGTTCTCGCTCCTGTCTTTATCGCCAAGATCGCATCTGATGAGCTACGCGGTGCCTGCCTCACCCTCATCAACAACATGATTGTCTTAGGTCGGTGGGGTTGTGTCCTTGTGGCCTACGCAGGGTCTTTCATCGCCAGCGACTGGGGGTGGAGGATGCCTTTTCTGACACAAGTAGTGCCGTCTGTACTCATGCTGGCATTAGATGTGCCCCTTCTGCCTGAGTCGCCATCGTGGCTTCTGCTCAAGGGCTGTCGCGAGGAGTCGGGCAGGTCGCTGGAAAAGTTCCATAGGGCTGATCTTGATGTTGGGACGAATACTTGCCGTCCCGGAGGCCGCCGTCGAACAAGAGCATTCCGGTTTCCAAGACGAGGCATCGTATCTTGACTGTTTCAAGGGCATTGTTGTGATGGCATATCTTGCCCAGCAGTCTGATGGCAGCATGTTCGCGGCTGCTTACCTGTCGCGAGTGGACCCCATGGCAATTCTCATTGATGTCAGCTTCCGACAGACCTAAAGCTACTTCTTTACGGTGGCGGGCGTCAATAATCCAATGGGCATTGCGCAAGGCGCATACGCTATTCGGCTTATGGGTAACATAATCAGCTGGTTTCTAGTCGACAAGCCTAGCCACGGCCGTCTCATTGTTTAAGGGATAGCTGCCATGACGGTGCTGCTCTTTGTCATTGGCTGTTTCGCCATACCAACGAATAACCAGCAAGCTTTGAGTGCGATGGTAGCCCTTATGGCTTTCTGGGGTTTCCTCGTAAGTGCGACAATCGAGCTCCTTGCAGCACTGACGAGACCCCCAGTACCAATCAACGCTAGGCGCCGTGACTTTCGCCGTTGGAGACGAGACACCGACAGCCCGCCTGCGCCAGAAGACATATTCCATCAACATCATGCCGAGCACGGCGGCTGGAACCCTAGTCTCCCAACTTCTCCCTGACCTTATCAATCCGACTGATGGAGATTGGGCGGCAAAGTTGAATTTGTATTCTCTGAGCTAACGATGCCTTTGGCCATTTAATCCTTCACTGTTTGCTCGAGATAGGGCCGCACATATCTCGAGTTGGAGATGTTCCAGCAAGAGATACCTACGAGAAAGTTCAAGGAGTATGTTTCTACAACGCAGCTTGTTGAGTCGGAAGGTCGGACGGCCGTCATGGTACCAAGGAACCAAAGAGTAGGTGCACAGTGATAAATAAGGCGGTCTTGAACCAAGAGCAGGCTTTGAATGTACTGAAACTCAGCGATTACCCTTTTGAAACATTTGTCAAGGAATCAAGTGCCTCATTACTGGGGACCGAGTATTAGCGGGCCGTTTTCCTGTTCTGATGTTTACCCTATCAAATCTGAGTGGCAAAAGTCTTCCCGCTGTGGTAGATTAAATCTTGGCTCTGCATGTAAAATCGTTAGGGGAGTGAGTGGCATACGGGGTTTGCGTTGCAGGGCTCTAGCCATGCGCTGACAGATATCCTGACAAATTTTAATCGAAACGAGATCAGGGCAACCTTGACGACTTCGCAGTGGGTCACCTTTTGTAATCCTTCCAGTTCAGTCGGCTTTATCACTTTGATGAGATCTGGGAAGTTTGGACGGAACTGGTTTCACTATCCGTGGAGAAACTTTGATATTCAGGTAAAACAATGTCGGTCCAAACCTCCGCGTGCCACCGTGCCAGACTACTCAATATTCCAGTTGGTAAGGTAAAAGGTAGCCTAGAGCATCGAAAGCTCCTCTCGAGCCTTGTGACTCGTCAGATTGTTTGAGACGGCTAAATTAGCTCGGGTGCTACGGAATATATCGCCAGCCCAAATGCGAACAAGTCAACAGGGTCCTGTCGCTTCAGTCAGAAGGAGCGCAATGGTGAGGGGTACAAATACTTCCAGAGATCTAAGGCCGAGTGAGCGCATTCAACCACGGCTTGACCGGGATGTTCATCAATTCATGACGCCCTTTCTGCCAGATACGGATTGCTGCCTCCTGAGCAGGGCGGGGCTTCCTGATTTATCATGCTGGCTGAATCCTTCGAAATCCTTTCCAGTGAGGACTGGCATGATATGCTTGTCATACATGAGCCGACAAGCGAAAGGATCAACATGCAGGTAGAGAATCACCTCGCTGAGCGTTAGCTCGATATCTTGTAGAGAATCTCACTAAGCCTCACTGGGACACACATCACAACATCATAACTAGCAGGACCAGCCATATTGGAACACTAAAGAAAGAACCAAAAGGGCAAAGCTTGGAGACGCCATGTAAGAGACATACTTTTGAGCTCGCAGGTTGAGATTTTGTGGTATCTTCGTTATGCTGTGTTGTTTACCAGTTAGGTCAACACATTTCTCATGTTCTATGGGGGCCACTTGTCCGCTGAGGAGCATCCTAGCAGTTAGTATTCCGCATGTATACCACCCCATCGAATCCTGCTTTCTGCCGATTTTGCTGTTCATTGGTCTGCTTAGCGGTGTTTCGTTACGTTGAACGAAATCAAATCCCGTTGACCTCCGTCAAATAGATTGCACCATCAGCCTGGATGGTGTTGTGACACTGCGCATACGTTAACCTGCAACATTGCCCGCATTCTGCCTGATATCTAGCCGCTCAGGTTGATTCGCCTATCAAGCGAGTCAACGAAGCCTCGCCACTCTCACCACTCCTCTCCGACCCAAAGCTACCCGGGTCCTCAGGCTCCGTTCTAGCAACACTGAAAAGAGTTGACGGCTTTCAGCTGCGGCGACAAGTATCAGGTCTGGTCTTGATAGTATTGAAAGCTGCAATGGAAGTCTCCTGGAAAGTATAAAAGGGCTGAAGGCTCGCCTCGACAATGAGCAACATCCCCATCTCTTCATCAGCTCAGACTTTCACTCGCAGACATCACGATTTTCCAACGTCAACCACACAGCCGCTCACAGCAACGCTTTCAAAATGAAAATTTCCGTGGCCACCCTCGCCCTCGTCTTCGGCCTTGCCGCCGCTGCGCCTGCCCCCGAGGCCAACAGCGCCAGCATCACCGAGGTTCTCGACGCTCTTGTTGCGCGTGACGTGGTCCAGCGCCGCGCCTGCAGCGGTGGTAAGCTATGCGGTGTTTTAAAGCACTCCAAAAAGCTTTGCTGACTCTTTGTAAGCCTCCATCTGCCAGAGCGGTTTCTGCCACTATGTCTTCTGCCCCGGCATGGGTGGGTGCTTCCTCCAAAAGACTAGCGAGAGATGCTAGATCCTTGGTCCGAATGAGGCCTCCTCAAAGGGATGAGATGACCCCAGTGCATGTGGAGCGCATGAAATGGCCTGGGAGAATTGGATGGCACGAAGTAGTACTCGCGGGATCTGTGAGCACCGCGCGTAAGGTCTTCCCAAACATGTGCCGGAAAGTACCTGAATCGCCATCAAATTATACGCTTGACATGGATCATTAATGTGCTGGCGGTTGGACTTTGATTTCGCATCATGCTGAGGGCTTGTCGGGTATCAGACAGGGTACTACCTCAGATAAATAACATGACAAGATGTAAGCCTCTAAGAAGAGATGAACCTTATTCCTCTTATCAATCCGAGTCCACGTTTTGTCGGCACTCAGTACACATAGATAAAATCCTCATTCTTGAGATCCGTCATATCATGTAGCGCGTTATCCTCCTGCAAGGTCCTCTGCTGTCTCTGCTGCCCATCCTCTTCGAGCTCGATATCCACAGCCTTGCTCTGCTCCATGTTGCGGTTGCGCATCATCGACTCATCGACAACGACGGCATTCTTTCCGAGTTCTTCGCGGCGCTTAGCGTGACGCCTGTTCAGAAACATCAGATAGAATGGTATCGTGATGCCTAGAGCCGCAACGAGAACAAACATGATCAGGTTGGAGATGAGGCCAGGGCGGTACAAGGGCGCGTCACTGGGCTGGTAGATCAGGGGTCCTGTATCGGTCAGCATGCTACTCAGGTGATCGGCTTTTTCCGGGGCGATGCTCGTACCAACGATATTGCCGACGCACATGAAAGCGAAGACCATGCCGCTTGTCGTCTTCTTCTTGGTGTCCCCCGCCGTGTTCTGCGCCTGCCACGAGTAGACGAGTGGCGTGATGGCCGCCATGCAGCTGACGAGATAATAGCCAAAGAGCAGCACGGCCTTCTGTTCGCGGGGCACTGTGAGCATGAGTACCGAGCCGATGATAGGTAGGACTGCAGTTCCGGCGATGACAAGCCCCTTGCGTTGAAAGTGTGTTGCAATCCAACCGGTCCCCATGATGGCGATGATCTGAATGACCCCAAAGGGAATGTTGAACAGGATGGTCTGGAACTCGGTGTAGCCAAAGGAGCGAACAATCAGGTTGCCAAACGTTCCGATGCCGCCACTGGCGATGGAAATGGCCAATATCAATATGGACCAGCACCAAGTCTTGACATCGAGGAGGGTTTCGATGGCATGGTCCCAGCGCCACTGGCGGGAGGCGACACCCATCTGGTTGGCACGCAGTCGCTCGACGGCGATGAGCTTTTCACGTTCCTGTAGATACTTGGTCTCCATCGGGGAATCGGGCATGAGTATGAGCACAATGACGGCCCACACAATCGTGAGAAGGCCACAGAAGAGGAAGATGACCTGATAGCGGTACAAGCTATCACTCTTGATATGGCCGAGGCCGTAGGTCGCCAGACTCCCAATGATGAAGGTGAGGCCATTCATGGCGCTCCAAGCAGACGTGACCTGCCGGGATCGTCAGTCTCGAGTGGACAGGTGTGCACAGGCAGTCATCTCACCATTGTCTGCTCCTGTCGCCTCCACCACATCTGCGTCACAGCAACGCAGCTCGGTGCAATCATGGCCTCGAAAGTGCCCAAACAAAACCTCATGCCGAGCAGACCAGCAAAGTTTGTGGGCGCTGCCATGATAGCCTGCGATACGCCCCAGAGGAACACGGCGCTGGCGATGACCTTTCCGTAGGGCAGCTTGACAAGGATGAAGGCTGCAGCAGGCTGCCAGACGAGCTGGGCGAAGTACAGGATACTGCTAAGCCAGGAGTACTGGCGGCCGACCAGATTGGCATCTTCAATGATGCCAAAGATGGACACATAGCTGAGCGAGCTCTTGTCGAGCTGCTGAAAGAAGTAACTGCCGAGAAGAATGGGTAGAACACGCCAGTTGATGCGACGCAGGACGGCGCGTTCCTCTTCGTAGGTGTAGGAGATTTCGCCATGGGCAGCGAGGAACTCGGCAGCCTTTTCGCGCAAGGCATTAGGGCCAGCCGGTGTCGGCGTGACAGAATCGCTGGGCGTCGCTTCGCTGTAAGATGTAGCCATGTTGGCGGGTCTTGGAAAGCAAGCAAATTCGGGCGAAATGGTTGATACCTCAACCTTGACACTCAAGGTGGTTCTTTCTGCTGCTGATTTTCCATCGCTATTCAGTCCCATCCAGCGTTTTTATTCTCTCATGATGCGTCGATCTCGTCGAGATCGTCGCCTTGCGCTGCCATGCTTCCCCGCAAAGAGACGTTACCAGCGATGCTTGACCTGAGTCAACTGCCATAGAACGTCACACGGCATGCGCAAGCACCTCAGCGGCACTGACTTTTAGCCGTACCACAACCCCGGACTCGGAAGTGCGGCAGGCCTGGCGGCTCACGCATGGCAGTGGCCGGGGTAACAAACTTGTCTCCGACGAAGGGTAAGAGAACGACATGGCGTCGCAACGCTACTGAGCTACAGGATCGACTCCACGAGACTAACTATCGTGGACAGCTGTTCATTGGGGGAAAAACATGTCCGAAGGGGAAATATTCGGTCCAAGATGGGGACGAGATGAGTGGGAACGCTATTCAAATATGTGAGGATCCTCTCTGAGTAGATGGCCGACAGAGGAAAGGTCCGGCACTGAGTGGGTGCTGCGTCGGGGCATTTTCAACGGCTTGTTGGCTGGACCTGGCGTCCGCAGCGATTGTGACAGCGGCAGAAAGGCTAAGCTCGTAAGAGGCCCAGCGGCCCACAAAGGCACCCCACCTGATGCCACTCTGTGGGGGAGGGGGGAGGGGCAAGGAGGAGGAAGGAAAGAGGGAGAAGGAGGGGTCATGGAAGTTTTGCACCTTCTCGCTGGGTTCTGCCTGATTTCGGCTGCTGGGAGAAAGCCCGCCGAAGCCTTTTGCTAGCTCTGTCCACCATTGGCCATGATGGCATTGTTTCGGTGGCGGGGGCCGAGCTCTGTCCTGGATTGACGCTGCAGGAGCTGGTCACTTCACCAGTGAGGGAAGGAATAACTTGAGCGAACCTGCTGCTGCTACTTTCTGCCGGCCTTCTGTTGGACTGACAGACGACACCAATCAATCCCACCAGTTCCGAACAGCCTTCATCGCCTCCGTCCACGTACCATCGAGTCGAGATCATGTCTGACGGAAGGAAAAAGTACGCCGTCGTCGGCACCGGTGGCCGCTCTGGCTTCTTCTACTCGGCCATCGCCAAGGACTACAGCACAACATCCTGCATCGTTGCCCTCTGCGATACCAACCAGACGCGCATGAACTATGCAAACGCCAAGCTCGCCTCTCTCGGTCACGGCGAGGTGCCGACCTTCCTCGCCGCCGACTTTGACAAGATGATTCAGGAGACCAAGCCCGACGAGGTCATCGTCACGACCATGGACCGCACCCACAACAAATACATTGTGCGAGCGATGGAGCTCGGCTGCAACGTCATCACCGAGAAGCCCATGACCATTGACGCCCCTAGGTGTCGCGAGATCTTCTCCGCCGTCGAGCGCACCAAGCAAAACGTCCGCGTCACGTTCAACTACCGCTACGCCCCGCACAACACCAAGATTTTCGAGATCATCCGCTCGGGTGCCATTGGCAAGGTGACGAGCGTCCACTTTGAATGGATGCTCAACACGAGCCACGGCGCCGACTACTTCCGCCGCTGGCACCGCGACAAGCGCAACAGCGGCGGCCTCCTCGTCCACAAATCGACCCACCACTTCGATCTCGTCAACTTTTGGCTGCAGTCCCGTCCCCAGACCGTCTACGCCACCGGCGACCTCGCTTTTTACGGACGCGAGAACGCAGAGGCCCGCGGCGTCACCGACTTCTACACACGCACACACGGCAGCGACGTCGCCAAGAAGGACCCCTTTGCCCTGCATCTGGAGAACAGCGAGGCCCTGAAGGGCATGTACTTGGACGCCGAGCACGAGGACGCCTACTACCGCGACCAGAGCGTGTTCGGCGACGGCATCAGCATCGAGGACACGATGAACGTCCTCGTCAAGTACCGCAGCGGCGCGAGTCTGACCTACTCCTTGACGGCCTACGCCCCATGGGAGGGCTTCCGTGTCAACTTCAACGGCACTGGCGGCAGGCTCGAGGTGGAGGTTGTCGAGAACAGCTACGTCAACTCTGGCGGTGACCAGGCCGACGAGGGCTCGCTCGAGAAGAGATCCATCGTACTGCGGAAACTGTTCGAGAAGCCCCAGGAGATTGAGCTCGGTGAGAGTGTTGGTGCTCACGGTGGTGGCGACACGGTGCTGCTGAACGACCTCTTCGGCGAGCCCGTGTCGGACGAATACATGCGGGCGGCGAGTCACGTTGACGGTGCCGCGTCTATCCTGACGGGCATTGCGGCAAACCGCTCCATCGCGACGGGGCAGGTCGTTAATGTCGATGACATCCTGCAGGTGCCGGAGAAATAGGGGAGGGTTGGCCACAAATGACACACCACGCTAGAACATAGACACACGTTTGACTTGCACTACTGGATGATTATGTATGACTGCTTGAATTCCACGGACTGCTTTCATTAGAGAATGTGAGAATCAGATCATGATGCCCCGTTACTGAAAATTCCCTGCATCGTTATCCCAAGGCCTTTGCGAAACCCGCATCACAGATGTAATCGGCGAAATCCCGCCCGCGCTTCCGTGCCGCCAGCCGCTGGCCCTGCGATATCTTGCCCTTCTCCAGGTACTCTATGTAGGCGCAGAGCACACTGTATGTCGCGTGGGGGTTATTGGAAAAGTCCCACTCATCCGTGACAGCCTCTTTGAAGCTGCCGTCGTAGGCCTTGGAGAACCACCTGCTTCGAAGAAGGACGGATCGATCAGCTTCGAAGCTGATGCCGTCCTTGGACGTGATTCTGACCATCCTGGCATCCGATAAGTGTTTTGGCTACCTGGACGGGAAAGGGTGATCCTACTTTGGAAGCGGGGAGGCGCGCACGTGTAAATTGGCCGTTGAGGATGGACTCACACTTGGGTGCCAACGATTCCGAGCTGGGCGGGAATGAATGCCATTTTTATAGTCTCGGGATACAATATACTCACTCGGGGTCTTTCGTATAAACATGCACATGGCATCGAGCGGAATTCTTCGGGCGTACGTTTCGTCATGAGGTACCAACCACACTGCACTTTGAGTGACAACCGTTCCAGCGCCGCCTCATGACCTGGTTGGGACCAAGGTCGCGCCCAAGCCCGGAAATCTTGCACTTCGGACTTGCGCATTGGCCGCAAATACGCCCGAAAGTGCACTTTCGGGCAGCCTTACTGCGTACTTGGCTGCAGGCCGGGTCAGGCAGCGAAGTAAAACGACTGTGCCTCGCTCTGCATGGGTTTGCTTACACGCCGCCTGACCATCTGCACCAACGAGAAACAATCGCTGAACGAGAATGACTAAGCAATACCCGCTAAAAGTCTGATGTCCAGACGTCTCACGACGAAAATCTCCACCTGCACTATAATACAACGACAAAACACCAAAAATATCAAAAACATACAACATCAGGGATTCGCTGGTGGTCACCCACCCAACTACTAGTCCGACCCTTACTGGCTTATCTATGGGAGAGCGGACGGGATCCCGAGTTCTCCAGTAGGTATGGTCGTATGTGCTGAAGTTTCATGATTGGAAACACCATATCGGGCTACGCAAGGGCCCTCAAAGTGAATACACGGCGGCAAAAGCCTACTTGAAGACCTTCTTGCTCGAGCCTCATTCGTGTAAGAAGTCCGACTGTCGCTCTCATAAGGCGCCCTTACAACTTTCATCCAGTCTACAAGTCGACACAACTAACCCCCTCAGAATCTTCGTCTGCAAACCTCTGATTTATCACAGAGTATAAGAACACATGAAGCACTCTGATTCTGTGCCATGGATTGGTCTCGTACTTCCTCGCCAGCATACTAGTGCGTGCCGGATCTGCCAAGTATCAAAAGTCCAAAATCCCTCGACGTTGAACATGACGAGCCAGAACACCAAAACAGTAGCTTAACACGAAACAAGACATTCACGACCCAAATAACAACAAACACACCAACTCAATCCCTCGGCAACCTCGCCGACTCCCGAGCCCACCTCCTCCGCGCCGCAGCCCCCGTCGTGCAATTCGAAGGCCCGGCCCCAGCACTCGCAACAACAAACTGCACCGCCTCGGCCACGTACGCCGCGTTGCTGAAGTAGCTCAGATGGACGGGGATGCTGTCGCCGCCGGCGCAGAAGCGGTCGTTCGTGTCGCAGAACGAGAGCGTCTTGGCCGGCACGTCGCCGCACTGCGTCATGTCGCGCGTCTGGAAGATCTGCCCACGATGCCAGTCAGCATCTTGTCTTGTACGAGGAGCCACAGGACCCAGGGAGAATGGGCAAAACATACACCTGCCTCTTGACTCGTGCCGCGGTTCGAGGGCAGGCCCGGCACGAAAGTCGGGTCTCCGGCCAGAATGACCGCTGCAACTGCACCGCTGTCAGCACACTTGACTATACAACGAAAGCATCTAGATCGTGTGCAGATCGCGAGACTAGGATCGGACACGCACTGCTCCCCCCAACAGCGGAGGCCTGCGCCGCACTAGGCGTGAAGCCGCTGAGGCTCGACCCGCACAGCGTATCGAGCGCGACATGGGCGCCCTGCGAGTAGCCCATGACGACGAGCTTCGTCTGCGGACAGGCGGCGGTCTGCTGCGTCAGGAGGTCCGTCATGGAGACGACGCCGGCGGCGACGGAGGGCGGGTACGGGTTCAGCTGGGCCGGGTAGTCGAGGGGTGTGACGACTGCGCCGGGGATCTGCTGCGCAGCTGCTGAGGAAATGGCGCCCATGAGGCCGACGCCGGGCTGTTCTGTCGAGCCGCGGGCGACGATGATGTTGACCGGCGCACAGGCTTGTTGGGCCAGGGTTTGGGGGAGGGCGAGGGCTAGAGCCCAGGAGGTCAAGGTCGTACGCATTGTTGGCCGCGTCGTTTTCCAAACGGCGCTTGATACTTGAAGCCGCTTCCGAAGCTGTATTTTATTCTGTACCGACTTGAAAAATAATGGCATCTCGTGTCGGGGGCTCTACAGACCTTTATCTCTTCAGGTGCCCTGCATCAAGGCGACGATGGGCGACAACAAGACGCATCGTATCGCCAGACCGCCCCGTGGTTGCCCCTGGCTTCCCCCCTCTCTCTCGCTCGTCAACTCGCCCTGCAGCCATGCTTGCGAGAACTGACACTGAACAGGCATGCCCTTCTTTGGCCTTAGTTGCGTCGCGAGCTGTGCAGTGGTAGATGCTTCCCGCAACTTCTTCCCCTTTAGGCTTGGGCTGATGGATCCCGCCTTGCAGCGATGCAGCAAAACCTCCACCAGAACACGCTCATTTGAGACCTCACCGAACCCAGAGCTCAATCTAAGAAAAGCCGAGGCACGGCGCGCATGAGGGGGCCGCTCAGCGCATCGAGAGACTCCAGCTGCGTTTGTTCCTTTCTTCTGTCTATCGTTTCATTATGTCAATGTTGGCATGGCCAATCGCATTCATTTGTTTCGGATGTGATGTTGAGGCGAAACGGCAATGAGGGTCTCCATCTCCATGGCCAAATTCGTCCCGCGTTGCGACAGCATCCGGAGAGGCAGCGCCACTAATCTATGCTTCCAGCTTCCACACCCTCCTGCCTCCGAAATACGTCTCTTTCATCTGAGCCTTCGGTAGGCTCTCAGCCTTCCACTCCATGTCAACAATGACAAAATCAGCCATCTTTCCCACCTCCAAGCTTCCTGTCCTCTCCTCAGCGAACACACTGGCCGCCGCGCCCTTGGTACCAGCCACGATCGCCTCGCACACGCCGAGTCGGAAGTTCTCGTTCACCGTCACCTCGTACTCGGGCTCCCTCGCTGATCGCCTCGTCGACGCCACGTACACGTTCTGCAGCGGCGCCCACGGCGCCGTCGGGCTGTCACTTCCCAGGGCCATCAACGCTCCCGCATCGGCCATCTCTCGATACGCGAAGGCCCTCTTGCACCGCTCCGAGCCGATGAGGCGCGGCCATGCCCGCAGGATTGCCGGGTCGGCGTGGACAGGCTGGATGGAGGCTGTCAAGTTGAGGTCACCCAGCCGCTTGGCGTCCTCTGGCGATGCAAGCTCAAGATGCTCGATACGATGACGACGACCAGGCGTAGTGTGCTTTTCGAGAACGTCGACGGCCATCTTGATGGCACCGTCGCCGATCGCGTGCAAAGCAATTTGCAAACCTGCAGCGTCGGCTTGCGCGACGATAGGCTCAAGGTCGGCTTGCGCCCAGATCGGCGGCGGGGAATCGGCGGGTGCATAGGGCTCGGAGAGGTAGGCCGTGCATGCGTCGATGATGCCGTCGCACACAATCTTGATGCCGGCAATGCGCAGGTCTGGGGAGGTAGAGGCGTTAAGCTGGCTGTGCAGCTCAATGGCGCGCCGAACCTGAGCGTGTCTGGCCTCGGCGTCGTCGGAGGGCTTGATAAGCCAGTAAGCGGCGATGCGCATAGGGAGGTCGGGTTTGGCGGCGCGCAGGGCGACGAGGGCATCCCAGGCCGGCTCGTCCATGGCCATCTCGACAAGGCCGGTGTAGCCAGACGCGTTGTAGGTCTCGACTGCAGCAAGAATGGCCTCCTGACGCTCGGCCATGGGGGAGACCTTGGCTTGGTGCGGCCAGACGATGGACAGGACGGCACCTTCGCTGAGCACACCGTTGGGCTTGCCGTTGGCATCGCGATGGATGGTGCCGCCGGCGGGGTCGGGCATGTTGGCAACACCAAGCTCTTCGAGGCCTGCGCTGTTGCACCATGTGGAGTGCAAGTCCTTGGTGTCGATGAAGATGGGGCGCGGGTCAATGTCGTCGAGCATGGAGGCATCAGTGCCTTCCGGGGTCATTGAGTGCATCCAGCCCTTGCAGAGTATACGAGGCACCTCAGGATTCGCCTCGGCGTAGGTCTTGATGGCGATGCGGATGTCTTCGAAAGACTTGCAGTGATCAAGCGAAACTTTGCGCAGAGACTGGCCAAGGAGGAGTAGATGCATGTGGCCATCGACGAAACTGGGGAGGATAGTTTGTTGGGCGAGGTCGGTGGTCGTCACGTCGGCGGCGCCCCGGATGGCCGCGACCTCTTCACGCGTGCCTATGGCTCTGATGAGACCATCCTGCACAAGCATGCTGTCGGCGAAGACGGGCTCGCCGGTGAGGCCAGGGGTTGACTTGGCGAGAATGCGGCCATTGACGAAGAGGGACGAGGGGGGGTTGTCAACCGACATGGTGGCTGTGATGGCTGTTCTGGTGATGGACGTCGGGGTGATGCTAGACGAAGAGGGGGAACGTCGGGCGGAGGTCTGTCTCGATGACGATTTGGCGAGGCTTGAAGGAGGAGAAGGGAGAAGTTGAAGTTGGCAAGGGAAGAGCTCGAGACAGGAGAAAAAACGTCGACGGTCAGAAAGTCTTGCTCCCAGCTCGGCCGAGGCAACATGGCATCAGATCAGGTCACGTCGGCCAGGGCAAGTCCCATTGAGGGGCACCATCCGTCTCTGAGCGCGCCCTGGTTGCATCTCAGGGCGTGCCAAATGTTGGTAGTGAAAACACGCGGGGGAAGGTCGAGCCTGCCCCGCATTGGTGCCCCCCCTCCCTTCGTCTCGACCTTCCGCAGCGGCATCTTCCAGCGGTCTCAGTGGTTCCCTACCTGCACTTCCACTATGGACGGCGCTGCCCAGCACCTAAAAAGGGGTCCACGGGAACCCCCACTACCGCCCATGCCTTAGTGTCGCATGCACGCGATCACCTATCAGCAACTGACTCTGACTCGCTATCAGGTTCTGTCCTGCACGTCAACGTCAGGGATCCGATCTGATAAGCTCGTGCTGGCTATCGTTTTGCCGATAGCTTGTGATGTCAGAGGGTTCGGACACAGGGTGTAGGGCGTTGCTGGGGCCGCCTTAAGCGCATAAGCATGCAGTGTTCCACGGAGGTGTACTCGCACCTTTCATTCACGTACCTCCACCCTGCACCTGGTCATAGTGTCACTGGCGGCGAGGGAGGTAGCACATAAGCTGTTTTGAAGACTAAATTGGAGACGCTCGGCTCGAGCTTTGGTAAAGGTAGCATTTGCATATGCGCCTGTTCGTATGGTACGGACGTAACGCCAGATGTGCAATCCAGAGCACTTCCAAGTCGTCCCTTTTCAGGCACGATGCGGTCATTTCGTTCATCCCAATAGACTCATCGTATCACTCTCTCAAGTTCCGCATCTTCTTCTGACCCTCAACAATTTCTCTCGCTGGTTCCTCGCCAGGGATATCCGCATCCTTCACTCGCTCAAAAGGCACCACACCCTTGTTCCTCGCCTGGTTCTCGTCAAACGTGCCATACATATCAACACTGTCCTGCATGCCCGCATTCTTCGGCCTCGATATGAGACACAGCACCGTGTACAGCACAGCAGCTTCGGCGAACCCGAAAAGATAGTTGCCGAGGAAGTACTTTTGCAGGCCGTCCGACACGGTGACGCTCGGGTTAACATTGGCTATCATGCCCGGCATGGCAGGCACAAAGCAGATGACCCACGCGGCGAGCGCACGCCAGTGAATGCCCCATGTGTACCAATAACTTCCGTCGCGTGAGCCTGTGTAGAGCTGGCTGAGCTCGACGCGCTGCCGGCGGACGACGAAGTAGTCGACGATCATGATGCCCGTCAGGGGTCCAAGAAAGACGGAAAAGGAAGCTGCAACGGCGACGAAGACGGAGGCCGTGTTGTAGAACTCCCAGGGCTGCACAGCCCAGGACAGCAGCGCGCTTAGGAGGGCACCGCGCTTGATGGTCAGGAACCTGGGGAAGAGGCCGGCGAGGTCCATACCCGCAGCGAACGAGTTACCCATGATGTTCTCGGCGATCTGACCGATCACGAAGCCCAGGGAACAGAAGAACGCTGCGGCGCGGGCGCCGGGCGAGTAGTCGTCGATGAGCCATTGCAGGATGACTGAGAGTGGGTTCCAGAAAGGTTCCTCGAGCCCCCAAATGGACATGGACGCCGAGGCTGTGATGATGGCAAATATGGGGACAATCATTCCCGGAACCAGCAGGGAAAAGGCCATGCCGGGAACTTGAAGGCCCTGTCGGCGGGCGAAGCGGGTGAAATCGCTTTGGTTGACGATGCCGGCAGAGATGACGCCAAGATTGCTGATAATACCATAGACCCAGGCCCAGCCGGTGGAGAGGACGCCAGGCTGGCGAGCGCCCGATGCGAAAAGGGGTCCAGTCCCGCCGTTAACGCCGGCCCAGATGGTGATAGCCAGCATAACGATGAGGACGATCACGTTCGCAGTGATGACATAGGGCTTCGAATTTTCAGGGCGGATGAGCTGGAATCATGAGCATCATGCTTGATCATCAGGGTTGGAGATTGGCCTACCAAGAAAGGCACCGAGATGAGGTGGAACAGCAGGAATCCGATGAAGTCACGAGTGACCATGTTGGCGCTCGCTGCAAATGTGTTCTCCATGTTCAGAAAGCTTGAGCTCCAGCTGCTGATCATTGCTGAGACGCAAAGACCACCGAGCCATGCCTGCGATCCGTACCATACGATGGACAGCATGATTCGCATAGCTTGTGTGATGTAAGCACCGCGCATGCCAAGGATCATGCGCTGGTGAACGGCGAAGCCAATGTGCCATTCTCCGCCGATCCATCCATTGCCGATAATGAGGGCGATCATGAGTATGCGAGCAATAATCATGAGGCCAATCGTCTGAGGCACAGTCAGGCCAAGGGACAAGAGTGAGGCGGCACCCGTCCAGGCTGAAATGCACAGGCTGCGACAGTCAGCGTGGATGCCCACCCCATAGAAAGATGAAGAGTGAGAACTCGCTTTGCGATAGAACCCCAACCCAGGTAGGCCCAGATTCCCCAGTTGCGACGGCTTGGGGGAAGAGGCGCAATGTCGGGATTGATCCATTTATCCGTCTCGTAGCCATGCTCGTGGTCATCGGCGACACGAATCCTCTCGACAATGTTCTTCCACATGACAATGGTCTTAAGGCTCTGAGCTTTTGACTTCCGGTGTTGTGCAGCCCAGTCGAATCCGAGCGGAAAGAGACACGAAAGATGTCTGTAGAGCTTGCTGGGCTGTATCACTTTTTGAAGACGAGGGGGCTCGGTCTGGCCACCTGTGATGATGGCATGCAGCTCTAGATCGACTCAACTTGGTCCCGCAGGAGGGGTTGCCGGAAGCCTTATATGAAGAGGGTATAGCACTGCGTCGCCAGAAGGTCGTGGGGGTTCCCAGGGTAGCACTATGATGCACAGGATTTATTGGCTGGAGCTTGTCTATCGCGCAGGAAGGTGAGGGTGTGCTTGGCAGAGTTTGACTCGTCTGGGCTCCCCGCAACTGCACCATCAATCCGGGGTGGTGAGGATAGTCAGTTGCTGTCGAGACCCTGCTGATGAGTGGCAGGCAAAGAGAGGACTAGGAAAAGATCAGCGAGCCGCACGTAGCGAGATCGTTAGAGCTGCTGAAGATTCCATGTCCGATCATGGCTGGACGACCGTGGCCGCTGGAGGCCAGTGGGCCTATTTTTCGCAAGGCTAGGGCGATCCTGCAAACTGGTGACGGGTTATCGTTTGGCTGGACTGGTTCTTCCTCTAAATCATTTGCGGCAGCAACAAGGGGGCGGATTGCGGGATCCTTGATCGCTCGTCGCTTTTTCTCTGTGATGGCTCGAGGTGCTCGGAGAGTAGATCGATTCTGGAAATTGATCACCCCACCTGAACGGAGTGCGATGGAGCTAAGATAGCATAGATAGTGACGTATCATCTCAGAGGGATGCATGCTCGGCGTTCAGGCGCGGAACTACGTACCGATGTCGGGGTCTGTCGGATCCAATGCTCGGGGCCGGACACTGACAACGAAGAACCCCACCATGACCTAGGTAGGTACCTGGGTGCCACTTGCCCGTCCGCTATGCTGCCCCTCATTTGCAAATGGCAGCGCAGGTGGGATCAGGGCAGGCACCACAAATATCGGGATCCAAAGCTTGCCAACAAACTCTGGCTTCGGATACAGATACTAATCTGCATCATATCTTAGTCCAGATATCAGCATCAGTGTGCATCCCATCAGCCATTTCTTTGCTCTTTGGCCACCCTTTCAGCTGGCTCACTCTTCACTCGCCGGCTCGTGCATTATTCGCGCTTGGACATGAGGTGGTTGTCGCGTGTTCAATGACCATCACTGCGCACGCCATACTTATTCTCACAAGATCACGCTCATCCTTTTCGCCATTGCATCATGGCTTTCAAATCCGAAGGACCCCTGGTAGTTGGTGTTGATGTAGGCGGTACGTACAAAGCCCAATGTCTTGTTGCAAGTCATCGAGTTCCAAGGGATCGCTTCCCCTGACTACGTAGTCGAGTGCCTGCTGGTTGCCACATCACTAACACGGCCAGGCACTAATACCGACTCGGTCCTGCTCGATCTTTCCAGAGCAGGCACCTCTGCTGTCCTTTCATCTCACAAGTCTCCCACGACGACGGACGTTACGGAGGGTGTCGAAGCTACACTCACGACGCTACTCTCCAAGTCCATCGCCTCCGGGGAAGACGCTGGATCGCCCCCTGACCCGGCCTCGATTTCCGCTCTGGCAATTGGTACCACGCACTTCCTGAACGCCATTATCCAGCGCGACGCTTCTCTCCTCTCCAAGGTCGCTGTCATTCGCCTCGGTTCCCACGGTTTCGTCAAGGGTGCCCTGCCCTTTGCCGACTGGCCCAGATCTCTTCGAGGCATTATTGAGGGCTACTCTGCCATCGTTCCAGGCGGCGTGAACATCGATGGAAGGCTCATTGCTCCTCTCAACGAGAAGGATCTTCGCCTCGAAGCTCGCAAAATCCATGAGCTCAAGTTGCAGAATGTTGTTGTTGTCGGTATGGGGTCCCCAATGGATACAACCTACCATCAAGAGTCTGAAGCCGGCACTATTATCATGTCAGAACTCGAGAAGTTGGATACGGACTATGCAAAGTCCACAAATATTGTCCTCTCCCATAGTGTCGCCGGTTCGGGGCTGTTGGCTCGCGAGAACGCCTCTGTTCTGAACGCGGCGATTCTGACGTTTGCGCGCCGTACGGTGTACTCTTTCATGCGTGCCATGAGAAAGGTGGGACTGCAGTGTCCGCTTTACCTAACATCGAATGCTGGTCACCTGCTGCCATTCAGCGAAGCCGTCAGCTTTCCCATTCGCATTTTCTCCTCCGGCGCTACCAACTCCATGCGGGGAGCGGCATTTCTCGCACGGGAAGAGCTTGCTACCATATCAGGCGACAAGGGCTGCGTTGTTGTTGATGTTGGGGGGACCACCACCGATGTAGGTGCACTGTTGCCCAACGGGTACCCGCGACTGAGCAAAACGTATACCGAACTAGCCGGCGTCAAGATCAACCTTGATATGCCCTCAGTCGAGAGCATCGGCCTAGGTGGTGGTTCTATCATTCGAGAGGTTCGAACCGCGACTTCATCGGTAACAGTCACCGTTGGTCCCGACAGCGTTGGTCACGCCCTCACGTCAGAAGCTATGTGTTTCGGAGGCTCGATCCCAACAGCTACTGATATTGCCATCGCTTCATCGCCAAATGAGCTGCTTATAGGTGATCCAGCCCTCGTCAAACTCGACTCCACTGTCGTTGCATGCGCTGCCGATCGCATCAAGAATATCCTTGAAGCCCTCACAGACCGGATCAAGCTCTCACCTGAAGACTGTACAGTTGTCCTAGTTGGGGGTGGAGCCATTTTGTGCCCTCCAACCCTCAAGGGAGTTAACCACATCATACGTTCCGAGCATGCTGGGGTCGCCAACGCCATAGGTGCCGCCTTGGCTAAGATTTATGGGACTGCAGAGGCCATGGTAGATGCTGATGACCTCACCGCAGGCATCGCCCGTGTAATGGATACGGCAGTCGCTAATGCTACAGCCAAGGGTGGTGTCTCTCGCGAGGTCACTGTCCTCAATGAAGAGATGGAATGGGTGCCGTACGTCGACAACAAGAAGCTCGTGCGGATCGAAGTTGCCTGTTCGGCAGATCACGCCCGAGTCTATGCTGAAATGGTGCAGTCACCTATCAAGGATGACGTTCCTCTCGATTCTATGGACGACGGACCCTCGCCCAAGGGCAAAAAGGCGTCCACCACCGACGACACCTATGAAGGTCTAGACTTGGCCACGTATCGACCGAAGATCACTCCCCAAGGCGAGTGGATTGTGTCGCCTATAGATCTCAAGTTCATCGAAATTGGCTGCTATATTCTTGGCTGTGGCGGCGGCGGATCCCCGTATGCATCATATTTACATCTTATGGAACTGCTCCGTGAGGGCGAACGCATTATCATCACTCGTATTGAAGATTTGCCGGATGATGCTGTTTTGCCTCCAGTGGCGGCTATTGGTACTCCAGCTGTGGGCCAGGAGCGCATCGCGTCTGACGCCGTCTTCCATGCTCTCCAGAGATTGAGCAAGGAGCAAGGTAACGTCGAATTTACGCATCTGCTAGCTACTGAGATTGGAGGTATGAATGGCCTGGGCACCTTACTATGGGGCTCAAAGAGGTACTGCGGCGTGCCGATTGTTGATGGAGATCTCATGGGTAAGGCCCCTCTCCTACACAGAATGCACTGTATTGACGACGATGGCGTAGGTCGCGCAAATCCTAACTTTGAGATGGTCTCCCAATACGTTAATTCGGAGTCTGTCAATGAGCTGCTACCTGTGGCAATTTGCAGCGGCGACGGCCAAGACGCAATTGTGCCGGCCGGGCAAGCAGATGAGACGGCCGCGGGTAAAGAGATCCGCAAGGTATGCGCTAACTTTGGTTTCGCTGCCGGGGCCGCGGGCACGCCACTGTCTGGGGCCAGAATGCGCCGCGACGGCATACCGAATACTTTCTCCCTTGCGTGGCGCCTTGGAAGGGTCGTACGACGCGCGCAGGTCGAATCCCGGATGGGCACTATCACAGACGCGCTTGTTGCGGAGGCTGGCGGCGCGCGGTCCGCGAGGCGCGTGTTTACGGGTAAAATCCGTGGCGTCGAGACGAGAATTACAGAGACCGGCCACTCGCTTGGTGAAGTCGTGATCGAAAGTCTCGGCGAGGACGAAGTCGAGAGTGAGGCTGAACGGGCTCGGGAAGGCGAGGGATGGAAGGAGGTGCGGGTGCCATTCATGAACGAGAACCTGGCTGTATTAGCCAAGGGAACCGATGGTGCGGAGACGATGCTAGCCACAGTGCCCGATCTGATCATGGTGCTTGATGTCTCAACTGGTGAAGCGATTGGGGTACAAGAGTATAGGTACGGGGTTAAGGTCGTGGTCATGCTCATGGCACCACACCCTATCTGGGCATCGAAGAGGGGACTCGAGGTGGCGGGACCAAAGGCATTCAACCTGCCGTATGAGTACACTTCAGATTTGGAGTACGCAAAGCCAGCGAGCGTCATCGACGAATTTCGACACAAGTGAGGTCGGCGTCGCATCTGCAAATATTTAGAAATGCTTTGGATATGGTCAGTCCGTCAATTGGCACTAGCCTTAGATTTCAATCAACAAAGCTGCTTTGCGAGCCGTACAATCAAATATGAAAGACTAGTGAGCATGAGTAAATAATACCGAACGCCAGCCACCGCCGGAACGAATACCATCAAACGCCGTTCCTACTACCTCAAAGCTCAGATAGGAAGACACTCCCCAGGCCACTTCTGTGCCAGCACCATCCAGTTCCAATCCTCTCCCGCGTCTCTCGCCCTCCACACTCGCTCTTCCACAAACCTCCTCGTCCTTTCGACAGTCACAGTCCTTCTGTGTGCAGCGATGGAAGCCAAGACCTCTCTAACAGCCCGCCTGTCTTCTTCTCCGCGCATTTCGCAGGCCGCAAGGAAGACGGGCCAGAGAAGAAGCTTCGTCTCAGCAGCTGGCGCGCCAGATGCGTAGAGAAGCACGTCATGCGCGCCGTGGAGAGCCGCGGCGTCTGCTTCAGCTTCGGTTCCAGTTTCTGAGACTGCGTGCTGGGATGCATCGTCGCTATTGATGCTGCTGCTAGGGGGGTGCTGCAGACGGTGGAGGTAGAGGAGGGCTGCGGAGCGATAGGATGCGGCTTGGACACGAAATTTGCGGGTCGTCAGGAAGGGGTTGTTGTCTGTGATGGGAGGAGACCAGGCTGTCAGGCGATGGTAGAGGGATGCAGCCCGAAGTTGAATCGAGGTGGACTCGGGGGAGGGATTGAAGGAGGGCGTTATGGTTGATGGTCGTTTCACTTTGGAACAAACCAAAACGGAGGACCTGGGGCTATTATCTGTGGCATATGAGGTATCCTGAGACGATGGGGACATGGATGCGGCTGAAAATCCAAGCACCGCTTGATCGGTCGCTGATGAATGACTTGGCTGGAGAATTTGTTCGCGCATATCCTCTGCGAGGATGCAAAGCTCCTCAAGCAAAGGCATGAGCGTTGCTGTGTAGCCGAGAAGACGGTCTGCTTTTGTGCAGTCGTTCGTCTCGAGCCAGATGCAGGTCGGAACGCGAGGGCGACGGAGATGGACGAGGGAAACGACTAGGTCTTGGCGAGCAAGGGCACGCAGAAGGTAGCGGCTGACGAAGGAAATTTCGCCGCCTATCGAGGTGTGGTGCGATATGAGGGAGGAGACGTTGCCCAGAACCGTCGGTATGGTGGTGTGGTGGCCTGGCTGTGCGAGCGTGACGAGCTGTTCTCCTGGTGAGTACATGGCAATATTTGATAGGCGAGTGCGAATGGGGAATCGCAATGCTACGGTAGCTTACCTCCATGGCACATAGACCTAGAAGCAGAAAGAGAGCTTCCTCGAAGTAAAAGCTCGACGCCTTCATGCTCCTAAGGTTGGCTAGGATCCTTGCTCTTCGATTCAGAACGGGTAGCAAGGATCCCGCCCTGTCGCCGACCTGATACGCATAACCAATGGCCGACAAAGTGTCTGCCACCCGTACTGGGTCGCGCTGGAGTATCAATAATGCGTTGGCGTTCATCTCGCTGACGAATTCTTGTCCGATGAGAAGTTCGGAAGGGTGCCCTTCGAAAGTTAGCCATGCCTCGATTCGAGTGCCTCTCAACTCCGCATGCCGCATGAAAGAGTTCGTTAGAAACACAGACGTAGCTTACGCTTGAAGTAAAGTTCAATGTTGATCTCATCGGAAGCCGGAACAGCCCCAGGGGGTATAAGCGACAGGAAACCCAAACTTTCGAGGGCTGGCAATGTTATTGTCGCCTTTCCGTTCCGCATTGGCTGTGCGCCTACGGCCGCCTTGTTCGACCCTGAGACTGTGGCCGTCGTGGGCCCCGTTGGCTTTCTGACGTTCCGTGCCGAAGGTGCGGCTGAGGCATCTACTGACGGCACTGGCTTCGCATACCCCTGACAAACATGCCGCCTCCGCGCACACGTCCCGCAAGACGGCCGGAGCTCGTCGCATTTGACCTTCGCGCGGCGGCAATCGAGGCAACCGTTGCGCGATCGCCGCGTAGGCGGCATCGCAGGTGGCGGCATTTCAGGGCATATCCGGTCGATGGGAAAATGCTCAGTACAGCGCCGTGCCGCAGCTCGTTTAGTGTACGTTCCGGGTTGGCGTCGTGCTGGTAGCTGTGGGTAGTGAGTCTTGAACGGAGGAGGGTCGGGAAGCAGGAGTTTGGCGGTCGGGCAAACAGTCGGGGTCAAATACCGACGCCGAGTTTAGCGACAGGGCACTACAGACATCCGACAGTTCGTTTCCTTGATCCTATTTTTTGGTCAACGGGTTCAGGGGTTCCACGTGCCCCTCAATTCATCAGATCTGGCCTGGGCCGCCCTAGTCTCCTAATTCCCCCTCTTCCATCGCATGCACATCCCTGTCAGTATACCGGATTTACCGGCAGTGACCGATACTGACCGACTCTGAATCACTGACCGAATCTCTGACCGAAGGCAACCTTCAGCCAAGGCCCTCGAGAACAACAAGCTACAGTTTCTGGCAGCGGCAGAAGAGCGTGCACGAAGTTCGTGCGTGCTCTTCTCCTTTTGAAAGGGACATACCATTTGAAAACCACAACGGGAGACCTGGGTCGCACGATGCCACGCGTACGGTACAACATTGCCACTACTCTCGATGGCTTCATCGCCTCGCTCGATGGCTCAACTACATGGATTCTTGACGACCCATCCATTGATTTCACCGCCCTTTACAGTGAATTCTCATCTTTCGTCATGGGACGCAAAACATACGAAGCAATGCTTCACCACGGGGAGACATCCGGTGCCAACCCTCTTGCCGACCACCATGTCATCGTCATAAGCAAGACATTGAAGCAAAAAGATCACCCCGATATTGAAATCATTAGAGATGACTACCTAGATGTGGTCAGAAACCTCAAGTCTGGTCAGGGTAAAGATATCTGGCTCATGGGCGGCGGCCGTCTTGCCAGTGAGTTTCTCGCAGCTGAGCTACTGGACGCTGTTGAGACAGCTGTTATGCCAGCCATTATCGGTAGAGGCATAAAGATGATATCGCAGGAAACTGAAAATCAAGAATTTTGGAAGCTCGACCTGCGAAGTGTGGAGAAGAAGGAGACTGGTATTCTCATGCTGACATACGAAATTCTGTACAGTAGAGCGTAGGAACTGGTATGACTTGGACTTGTATTCGCGCCGTACCATAATCTCTCATACTGTTATACCATAAGCCTTCATCTTCCTGTGACATGACTGATGCCACAGTATTTTACCTAAATTTATGTTTCGCTGCTGACTGTCGCAACAGAGGTGATCTTATCACTCATGGTCGACCTCGAAGAAAACATTTCACTTCCATCCGACCGAGAGCGAATGCCTGGGTGAGGCTTTGTTGCCTCACTGCTCGATACTGTTTATCTCCATGAGGTCCGAATTAGCCTCGCATTCAAAAAGCGAAGTCATAAGATATTATTCTCGTCGACGACATCTACAAAAGGAATGACTCCCCGAGACAGGTTCGAACTGTCGATCTCCCGATTTATCTGTTGAATAACAGTCGGACGCCTTAACCAACTGGGCCACCAGGGATTGATTGTTGAACGGCCGAATGACAATGCGCATCTTGTATGCAAAATGCCGCACTGGTGGAGATGTCGTGCCTTCGTGATGCACTTTGGTGGGGCCATTTTGCGTAGTTTTTCGCTGTCCCCCTCGATCATATTTGTTTCGCAAGGATCATCATTCCAAAAAGTGACGAAATCCCGTATGCATCCTATAGTATAACATGCTTTGGCTCATGCTTATGGCCGTTGAAGTTTAAGGCCTTACCTAGACCCTGATGAATGCCATTCAAGGATGCCCCCTCAATCTGTACCGTTCACTGGAAGACCCGAAAGTGGCCCTGGCAAATGTTAGAGTCGCCGACACCCACCAATCGTGCGCTGTCCGGAGACCCAAATGGCGCTTCTAACCTCTTCCTCACGCATCGCTGAGCCAAACCTCTTTGCGCTGCTCAGCCATGACCCGAAACCTTCTTGGTTCTCTCCCTGTGAGCTTTAGCACCACGTCGTTCGTCCTCTCCTCGCTTCCATGGAGAATCTGAACATCCAACGCTGCCATCATGTCAGCGTATCCAACGGGCATGCCCGCCATGGCGAACATATCCTTCCGCTCGCGCGGCGTCTGCTGGTGATGCACAACCCTGCGGCCCAGCACGTCGGAAATAATCGCAGCAATCTATGTGGGTGTTAGCAAAAGTCAGCCTCGCGATTTAGACGACGAGTATGATCACCCACATCGCCGTAGGAAAGCAGCTCCGGCCCCAGAATCAGAAACTCTGCATTGGGCGCTGCTTCCTGCGTCAAGAGCTGATACGCTGAGGCCGCAATGTCCTCGACAGCGACCCATGGAATTCGCCCCTCCCCCGTGGCCGAGTACACCTTGCCCTCGCCCCAAATAGACATGACGTGCGCCCTGTGTTCTACCAAATTCTCTGCCAGCATGTCAGCGCCCGCTCGCCCGCCTCACGCAGCTTGCCACCGAGGGAATGCATGTGCTGCCACGACTCACCCTGGAACCAGGTTGGGCGCAGAGCCGCCCACTCAGTTTGGCCCTTGTCGCCGAGAGCTTTGAGGTAGGCGTGCACCTTGCCCATTGCCACACCGCCCTCGTCTGCTTCCAGCGCGCTCGAGCTTAGGAGGACAAATCGCCGGACTCCCTTTTCTCGTGCAATATCGATGAAAGCTGACATGGGGGAGAAACTGTCGAGAATGGGTGGCGCGACGAGGAAGACGGCGCGCGGCGTCGCGGCGAGAGCCTTGGCGTAGGTCGTCTCATCGTGCCAGTCAAACGCGACGCCCGAGACGTTCGTGGCACCGGGCTCTGTGGTGGCACCGCTACGGGAGGCTTGGATAGTGGGGATGTCCGATTTGGCCAAGAGCGCGGCGATGCTGCAAGCTACCTTGCCAGTGCCGCCGAGGAGAAGGACTGGGCCTGCATTGAGGGGCATGGCGGCAATAAATCGTTTTGTGATGATGCGTCCGTAAGCCAGACATATGGCTTCCAGAGAGTAGAGCCCGGCCATCACTTATACAAAAGTCATTCATTGTCTTGGCTATCGGGACGTTGCTGCCGGCAGGGTGCTGGTGCGGAGTTAAGCCGCTGTTACTCGGGCGGCGCGGACGGAGGAAAACTGTCCGTGCTTCGGCGCGGTATTGCACCGAAGATGGATAATCACGGCTTGTGCATACATGGGACATTGTGCGAGGGGCTCGCCCACATCCTGCCACAGACCATGATGCCATGTGTCTTCGACGCAGGATACGCAAGAAAATGAATTGCATGTCGACGACCGATCTGTCAATATATTTATCTGTTGATCTTGGTAATATTGGTCCTGCCATACTGCCGGAGAACTTTGGCGGTTTCGATTCTTTGTGACACCCAGCCTGGCGAGAAAAGCGTTGTTCGTCGCTCGTTTGTAGGCACGGATGCTGACATCGGCCGTAAACCTCATCAACACCGCGCGCTGCGCTGGCCAGGCTATGCGCCTGACTGAAAATGACATCGTATGCAGTCGCCACCTCTTTTCTGCTGTTTCGGACTGGCGGTGGTTTTCCTGGCATCTTTCTGCTACCCCAGCGCGGTAATTTTCTCCTCACAGGCGTTCAGCGCCGCATCGACTTTGGGTGCGGTTGTCAAAGAAAAGGTGGCAGCACTGCTTGGGGTGCCTACCATGTTCAACGCCGAGTTCCGAATACTCGAAGCGAAGAGGTATTGTATCACCACGCTGCGGACAGGTCTGGCCGCTGGGTCTCCCGTTCCACCGTCCCTGGTGAGGAGTATGAAAAGGGAGAGGGGTGTTATGGGTATGCTGATCAGCTTTGGTATGACGGAAATCAGCCCTGTTACCTTCATGATGTCGTTGGACGGTAGCGAGGAGACCATGTCGACCGCCATAGGCAGGGTTCTGCCACATACGCGGACTAAGGTCGTTGATCCCGAGGGCAACACTGCTCTGGTCGGACAGAAAGGTGAGTTCACGGAACTGACCTCAGGTCATATCCTAGAGACGCTTGATTTGCAATCGTGTGCGTGGGGAACTGATAGCGAGTCATTCATCTCAAACACAGAATGAACCCTAATAATGTGCTATCATACGCCTATCCGTTGAAGAACGTATTATCAAAGTGAAACCATGGCTTTAGTTCCACTGGCGGAAGCAGCTTGAAGAAGGGCTGGTGCGCCGACGGTTGAATATCTTTGGCCAATACAGCCAACTCCAATACTTAAACAGTGCGCTGGGTCAGCATCAGTAACTTGACCAAATCAGAACATTCAGCGGCCAAGGGAGCTGGCCTGAGGAGGTAGCACTCGGATAAGCCTTACAACTAGGAATGTACATTGTCAGCCGTTTTGCAGGAGCAAGTGCAAGAGCTGCCTCAAATCCCGAAGGGCATTACTTGGCTGGCACAAGACCCAGGCTTCCTGTTATCGGTATACGACAGGCTGTCGGACTAGTAATATATGGCTTACTTCCGGCCGGAGCCAATGGCTCATACATCCCGCAAACAATCCTTGCATGGATGTAAATGGCCCTTGTGCCAAGCACTAGGACCCCTGATTTTCTGCTGCAACCGACTTTGACTATGTATCACGCTAGCGACAACAACAATAACGGGCAAAATTGTATGCAGGGAAATGTGCGGTCTTGGCAGCATACCTGTACTAGACAGTTTCTCGGGTGTCTGGCTATCATGAATTCCCGAAAGAGCATGGATTTCTCAACAATTCGCTCTAGACATAGCAAGAGTCTACACCAATCAAAATTTGGCAGTTGAACATGGAGTATCGCTGGACCACGTAGCTCAATGTTAATGCAACGCTGAATTTTGGGGGGTTTTGGCTCTGTGTCTTCTTTATCGAGCATATGCAGAGTGTAAATTATCAAAGTTTCAGTCCAATCGGCTCATGCGCTGGTTTGGTCGACATTGCAGACTACGCAGCTGCACGGTACTTTTGTAAATACTACCTTCCCCAAGCGACTGTGCCAGGGCGATGTTACATAAGGTTCGTACTGAAATCACCCAGGACTCCACTCACGCCGTGTAGGATGAACACACTTGAGAAGGACGGTGATGGTACTCAAGAGCGCCGCTCCCGTGCAGGTCACTCAACCAATGGCATTAGCTGTAGTCGCGCCGATTAACGACTTGTATAATGCAAAAGTACCCGAGTTAAAGTACTTCGATCCATTTGGTCCCTGTCATGGAGCATGCCGGCTGTGCCAAGAGGCCGCGACTTCAATAGCCCTTTCCCGGACTCTGCACAGTTCTTCCGCACGCGTGGCTGGATCTTGTCCTGACAGAAACTCTGACGAGGCTATCGGACGAATTCTTCTTAGCCATACAGCTTTTCACGTACCACGTCTCCAGCTCAGTCGGGGCCCCATGTTGAGAGCTTCTATAAAACCTAGGCCAAAGCCCGTGTCCTTTCACTCAATTTCTTCTTCATCAGCATCCATCTTCAGATCCTCTCAGCTCTCCTCCTCACCCAAATTCCTCTACACACTCACCAGCGTTGTTGCTTCCAAAAGGCCATCATGTTCTCTTCGATCACCCAAGCCCCCATGCTCGCCCTCGGGACCGCTCTTAGCGTGCTCCTTGTGCCCGCCATGGCCCTCGATCTCGCGCTCTGCTACGATCGGGACTACCGTGGAGGCTGCGCCGTAAGGAACCCTCTTCACATTGAGATATAAACGGATGGCTGCTGACACCTAGGTCTGCAGAACAAGTGGCCCATGCCGGTCAACTCTTGCTTCAGCAACCGTGGCGGCAGCAACTGGAGCGGTTTCACCAACGACGCCGTAACCAGCTTCCGCATCAGCGGTGGCTGCTGCCGCTTCTACAAAGACGCCGACTGCCAAGGCGGTCCGATGTTCACCGAGTGTAACATCGACGTCCCCAGCATCCACGACCGATATGGTCAGTTCAACGACCAGCTGAGCAGCGTTTTCTGCTACTAGATGGGGGGTATCGAACTCCTGGAAAGGGCAGTGGCATGTGGCAGTGTGCCTAAAACCTGCACTCGCAGATAACTCGGGCAGACTTTCCGGAGTTCACCATATCTCGAGGCGTTCGGTTGAATCTTGATCCTGCGTTCTCATGCAGATGCTGTCGGTATTAAATATCATCAGCAGAGTAAATAGGGTTTTAAACAGTTCCGCAGTATATACTAAAGTGCTTCGACTCGGTCAAACATGTCAACCCTGCTGGATGGCATAGGAGATTCCAGGCTCCCAGAAGTCATATCCTATTGTTGTGCTTGATGAACACGTATTCACTAAATCAAGAAAGTGCCTGAAAGTTCTCGGAGGTCTCCAAGTTATGCTATCACCTATGCATGTGGTGTTGAAGTCTTTATTGTCCTTCAAGACAGCACCGCATCCGTCCCGCGGTAAATGAACAATCTACAAGGGCTATCAGGCCTCTTTGTGACCTGTTCATGAGACATGGCATATTCTTTGCAGAGACAGTCTCAATCTTCGCAGCTATTTCTCAAGTTGACTGTTTCCCGGGTTACTGTCTTGAGATGACGCTAGCTTAGGCGCGCACGGGGTCAATTAGTCGGCAAGTATAAGAACAGAGTCGGTAAAAGCGACTAATACCTAAACCTAGGCGAACCAATTGAGATTCAAGGACGTGTCGCCGACTCAGGGCTTTGTACTGAAAATTTAGTAGGATTTCGTTCAAGTCGGTCTGTTTAACCTCGCTTGTTGAAGAGGCGTACTTTGCGAAGACGGCATGCTCGCTTCTTTTGACTACTTCATATGCAAAGACATTATCTGAGGCATTGGGACTTTCGTATCTCATCACGAGGGACAATTTCGGTGTGAGAAGATGTTATTCATCAGACACAAGAGTCAGCGCATGAATCGAGTACGTAAATTAACTCTCCTATAGTCGATTGGACTGCTCTTGGGGGCAGGTGGGCGAAGTGCTGGATCCTTTACTGACGCGGGCGTCAAATCTGCTGTGGGGATGCCTTCTCGTACCATACTCGTCGTTCGTGGGCGATGCACCCCACTTCGTATGCTTTCTCGGAGAGTTGGAGAGAACATCTGCATCTATGTGGTTTTATTGAGCCTCGAAAGGCGAGGCTTGATAACGAAAAGACAGCACCCCCCTACCATGATCACTCCGCCGAAGTATCCTCACCAGCATCATTCACCAAGAAGTAGACATTTGCCCTTCACCGAAAGCGCACCATCATGACGATAAAGCAGTTACATCCCGCCTACCTCAGGCTCGGGCGGGGTAGCCAGATAAGCGGGTCATGCCGTCACCCTCCGCGTATGGGACGTCGTGAGGCAGGGCGCTGAGTATAGCGGCCACGTCATGCTCCAGACTTACCTCACCATCATATTATAAGAGGCTAATTCAATCACTCGAGAAAACGTCAAGAGCGTTGTAAAATTTCCCTCTGTTAACTCGCTGCGTAATCTGGCAGCCTCTATCGACTCCTCGGTGATTTCTACCACGCTTTAGGAATCAGAAACTCAACATGGCCTCGCCATCAGTTTGTACCAAGACATTTGAACTGAATAATGGTGCGCCACAAACAAGTAGAATATGAAAGGTTTCCGGTACTGACGATCAAATTGAACCATAGGCTTGCGTATGCCAGCAGTGGGCTTGGGAACTTGGCAAGGTAGGCTGATCACCCGCCATCGTACCGTCCCCGACACAGCGCTCATCCCATGACAGGCAGCCCCGGAACAGACGACGATAAGGCTCTTGAAAATTCCATCATCCACGCCCTGAAGAGCGGCTACCGCCTCCTCGACACGGCCCAAGCCTACGGTGTCGAGCATATCGTCGGCCGCGCCGTCCGCGAGAGCGGCATCCCGCGCGAGGAAATCACCGTCGTGACCAAGTTCTGGGGCGAGTGGCACCATGATCCCGCCGAGGCGCTGCGCATTTCACTCGAGAGCTTGGGACTCGACTACGTCGACGTCTTGCTGATGCACTGGCCGTGGGCGACGACGCCGAAGCCCGAGAAAGCCGTCCTGCGACCGCATGAGGACCCGTGCTTCGAGGATACCTGGAAGAGAATGGAAAAACTGGTCGGGCCCACGTGCAAGTCCATCGGCGTCAGCAACTTTTCGCAGAAGACGCTTGACCGGCTGCTGGAGAAGGCCAGCATTGTGCCTGCCGTGAATCAGGTTGAGCTTCACGCATTGAACCCGTGCCTCAAGCTGGTACCGTACTGTCAAGAGAAGGGCATCCACGTGATGAGCTGGTCGTAAGCTTCGCTACCCTTGGCCCGTCATGCCGGATGGGAGAGTCCACCCGACCTTGATTGCTGACGCAGTTGTAGGACACTTGGAGGGTCCCGCGCTGGTGAGGAGAACCAAATTCTCCATCATGAGACGTTCACCAAGATTGCCGATGCGCACGGCTGCTCGGCCGGCGTGGTGTCCTTGTCGTGGGCCGTCCAGCGCGGCATCACGGTCATTCCCAAGAGCAGCTCGGAAAAGCGCATCGCGGAGAACATCAAGCTGGTGACACTGAGCGACGAGGAGATTGATACTATCAACAAAGCCCAGGACACCATCAAGAAATATCGCATCGCTGAGGGCATCCAGAGCCTAAAGGGTGAGGTGGATGGGAAGCTCGCCCTCAGCGGGTGGACCATGGAGGACTTTGGGTGGGAAGATGCTGAGGGCAATTGGTTGACCTGAGCGGGACGGTGTTGATCAAATTGCGTGCTGGGTCGATTGCCGAGGCTCAAGGGCTGACGTTGGGATAGCAAAAGGACTCCAGATTGTGAGGTTTCATAATAGCGTCAATCCCAAGCTGAACCAAAGATAGTGGAGGAACAGAAAATTGCGCCACGAACTCTACGTTCAGATCTGTTATGAAATCAGGTCTATCTTCTCGTACGGTTGACCGAGCGAAAGCGTGCTTGGTAATTGGAGCCGACGCGGAATCTGAATTCCATGACCTGACCCGGCGGACAATCCCGTCTGGGATCGACCGAGCCAGCTTGCCGGATCCGGACTTTCTTGATTAGGAAATAGATTCGCCCAAAAGGTAAGCGATTGGGGTCGCTCAACGCGGGATCAATAACGTCATAGCAGTGTATGTTGCCCTGTCAAGCCTGTCTACACGATTCCAACACGGCCCCCACCTCCTCAAAATCTGTTTCGACAGCCATCGTCAAGCAACGATGAGCCGTGTGGCGAATGTGGATTGAAATGAATGAGCTTGTAAATCCCATTCATGTTGCAAGGCTTACCAAGCGCCCGTCTCGATTGCCTCCTGTGCAGTGGCTCTGCTTCTCAGGCTATCATGACCTGAGATCAGTAGCAGGTCCCAAATGCGGGGGGCTACTTAAACTGCCGAGGCCCAGTCCAACATGTTCCTGGAATCGTTCTTATTCTTAAAGACAACCCCGCGAATCAAGCAGTCAGACGTGAAGAACCGTGTCCCATTTTCTTGAACTTTCCCCAATCCCGGAACAGCAGATAGCATCATGACAGCAGACAACAAGGTCTCGGCCCCAGGCTACGAGGGCATCCCGCCATCTCGGTCGAGGACACCAGCTCTCGTTGAGCGCAAGAAGATTCCTGCTAGCCTCGAAAACACCCCCGCCAAAGGCGTCCCCTTCTTCACCCCCGAACAGTCGCCGCCTGCCGGCACCGCGCTCAAGGCCGCCAACGGCGAGATCCCCAAGCTTTTCACACCGCTCAAGATCCGTGGCGTCGAGCTGCCGAACCGCATCTGGCTGAGCCCCATGTGCCAGTACAGCGCGCACGAGGGCTTTCACAGCCTTTGGCACACTACCCATTACGGCGGAATCGTCCAGCGAGGCGTAAGTTTCGAGCACTGCTCTTCTCGCGAAGCCAACTGACACCCTCTGCAGCCTGGTTTCAGCATGATTGAGGCTACTGCCGTCCAGGCAAATGGCCGCATCACCCCGGAGGACTCGGGTATCTGGCTAGACGCTCACGTCGACAAGCTCAAGGAGCACGTCGACTTCGCCCACAGCCAGAACCAGCTTATTTCGATTCAGCTCGGGCACGCCGGCCGCAAAGCTTCGACCGTCGCCCCGTGGCTCCCGCAGGCCATCGCGACCGAGGACGTCAATGGCTGGCCCAACGACGTCGTCGGGCCGTCCGATGTCCCCTTCGGCAAGGATTTCCCCACGCCGCGGGCGCTGACTCTCGACGAGATCGCCGAGGTCAAGAAGGACTTTGCCGCCGCCGTCAAGCGGGCGCTGCACGCCGGCTTCGACATAATCGAGCTGCACTTTGCCCACGGCTACCTCGTCTCGAGCTTCCTGTCGCCGACGAGCAACAAGCGCACGGACAAGTACGGCGGCAGCTTCGAGAACCGCACGCGCCTGGCGCTCGAGCTCGTCGAGGAGACGCGCGCCATTCTGCCCGAGGGCACGCCGTTGGCTGTGCGCTTCAGCGCGACCGAGTGGCTGGACACGAACCCCGAATTCGAGGGCGAGAGCTGGACGATCAAGGAGAGCATCGAGTTCGCCAAGCTGCTGGCTGATCGGGGCGTCGACATTCTCGACATTTCGAGCGGTGGCAACAACGCGGCGCAGAAGGTCAAGGGCGGGCCGGGATACCAGGCTGGCTTCGCCAAGGCGATCAAGAAAGCGGTCGGCGACAAGGCATTTGTGAGCACCGTCGGCAGCATCAAGACGGGTACGCTCGCTGAGGAGCTCATCTCGGGTGGCAAGGATGAGGACGACACGCCGCTGGACCTCGTTGCCGTGGGCAGGATGTTCCAGAAGAATCCGGGCCTTGTCTGGGCATGGGCCGACGAGCTTGAGACGTCGATCCAGGTGGCGCACCAGATCGGCTGGGGATTTGGTGGAAGGGCAGCCGTCAAGAAGGAGTCGGCCAAGATTAACATCCCGTAAGTCCGGAGATGGTTCCTGATCTTGAGAACATAGATTTGTATTGTTATACTGGGCTAAACATAGAACCGGCGTTTTGTACAGTAGCCAGAAGGCATCAAGACTTTAGATGATGGATTTGCTCGAGGGAAAGTGTGTCAAAATGATGGAACGAATGTGACTGAACCTGTATGTAGAGTCTCTTGACAGTGAACAGGGCACAAATTGATCAGGTACATTCGGAGATGTCTCCATTAGCCCTCAATTCTTCCGTCGGTTGCCGCCGGAGTGCGAAACCTGAGTTATAAATCAATCGTATCGATGGTGCGAATGAGACGAATCCATCGTGAAAAAAAAGCCAACAAGCCGTTTTGGCTTACCCCGCATTGGCGTCTGACGATATCAAATGGACTCCCCGATGCTTTTTCCCAGTCTCCCCTTTCTCTTGTCCCTATTCTGGTCACTGATCCAACCCCATATAAATTGTCTGTCAATTTGCGGCTCTTCTGCACCTCACCTTGTCTACAAGCCCAATATCCTGAACATAAGGGCACGAAGTGTTTCTCACCATGCTTCGTTGGGGAATTATCGGAACAGGCTTCATTAGTCACACCGTGGCCAAAGCGATTGAGAACAGCCCGGGCTCAACCATCCAAGCCATCTTTGGCAGGAATCCAGACAACCTACGCGCCTTCGCAGACAAGTACAATGTCGCCACGCGTTACGATACTCTAGAATCTATCCTCGACGACGACAAGGTCGATGTCGTTTACATCGGCCTCGCCTCTCATGTCCACGCCGAGGCCATCATTGCGGCCGCCAAGCGTGGCAAGGCCATCCTCTCGGAAAAGCCCTTGACCACAACCCTCGCTGATGCCAAGAGCAGCCTCGATACCGTGCGTGACGCCAACGTCTTCATGCTTGAGGGCCTTATGTATCTCTGCCATCCCTTTATGGAAAAGGTCGTCGAGATCATCAAGTCGGGCGAGCTGGGCAGCATTCGAGCCATCAACGGCCACTACGCAGCCCAGATCTGGGACAGAGCCAACCCGCTCGGCAAGGGCACCATCTATAACCTCGGCTGCTACCCTGTCTCTCTGCTCCATCTCATCGTGCAGACTGCATTCGGCTCCGACGCTATTCGATCCAGGAAGCTTCAGGCCGCGGGCAACGTCTCGCACGACGGTGGCGTCGCGCACTGCAGGGACGCCGCGCTCATGCTGCGCCTTGACAACGGCCTCCTGGCGACCATCCAGTCGACTGACAGCTACGGCAAGGACACCAGCTTTGTTGTTCAGGGCGACAAGGCGGTCATGACATTCAAGACGAACCCTTGGCTGCCTGTTGCCGGCGATAATGTCTTGACGATAGAGACGTACAAGACGGGCGAGACCAGGGAGGTTGTTGTTACGGCTTCCGAAGACGCATTTGCATGCCAGGTCCAGAAGGTAGAGGAAGCTTTGGCGGCTGGGCACAAGGAGGCAAAGCGCCCTGCCGCAAGGTTATCGGATTCATTGGAAATAATGGAGCTTCTGATCGAGTGGGAGGAGAAGATTTTGGGAAAGTCATCATAGGCAGAGTATAAGCAAAGGATGCCGTCAAGAAGTGTGTGCGGATTCAACAGGTCGCTCCTTTGTGTCTACGATGAGAGAGACAATGATATTCTCGGAATTTAGAATACCCTTTCGCGCTATATTATATCCCATCTGTATGATCGAGATGAACGATGTTGTTGTTCAAAAAAGCCTTACTAGTATGTGAAGATCACGCGATCTCAACAGTTGCCGTCTTATCCCTATTGTCAACAACAGCCTCAAGCTGCGGCCGCAACAGAGCAGCCATCTCCTGATTGAACTTTCAGATAAGGACCTTGTGCTCGAGCAGGGGACCCAGCTCAGTAGCTCAAGTCATTGGACTCGGGAAGACGGAACCACGTCTAGATGAGGGATAAAACGCTGGTGCCCGACTGAAAAAGCCGGCCTAGCATCCCGGTACCACGCTTGAACGATCATCTGCGGAATGGGCGCCTTCTTGATAAAGTGATGAAGCCCCACGCAGGATGGACAGCCTTGGTACGAATCTATGTCGACGAGATCACAGCGATGATGGTGTAGCAAGCAGGTCCAATCTAAGGAGATGAGAGTAAAGACAAAACTTCTTCAGCGATCACGCAACCGCATACAACTTACGCCAAGCCAAAAGTCGAAAAAACATGAATCAACGAATCAACCAAGTCAATCCACCACGCATCCTCTCAGCTCGATTGGATAGCTGCCGTAAGACACTTGCGACCGTGGGAGGCCTGCCACCGAGCCCTACTAGAGCCGACCGTAACACATCCATAGCATATTTATCCTGATCGCACACCATAGTCAAATATCTGTCGTAGCCATGATTGGAGTCGACGACAAATTGCGGATTACTCCCGTCACCGGAGACTTCTGACGGTCCTTCTTCAAAAGGCTCCGACCACCAAGGGTTATTGACACAATCTGAGACTGTGTGCTGAGAAAAACGAGGCAAGGCCGAGCTCATCATCCAGCGTCGAGTTTCCAATCTACTATGATCAGACATTTGGATATGTCAGTTACTGATCGCTGAGAGTTGTCAGGGCCATCGGATGCTTTCTCAATTCCCAAGCCAGGGAGCCAAAGGTAGCCAAGCGGAAGTAGCATTTCCATGCTGGAGTGGCGACGGCCAGCGGCTCAGCGGAATCCACGAGTGTCTTCAGCAGGTGTGGCAAGGGTTCTATGCACTCAACATAAGAGGCTAATTAAAACTCAAAGGTGCGGTCTGGTGGTTGCGATCTTCAGGGATAGACGCCGGGTCCGAGAACACTTTCAACGGACGTCCCCGTATCTTTATTGAGCCGCTATACCAGTCATCAATACACTGGTCTTTTTTGACACCGCCATTCGATTCTGATCAAGCTCGAAAGCAGCCCGAAGCAACGTAGTACTTTGGTTTCGTGACCCTGGGTTGTGGTGGATCCTGGGGATCTACCGACCTTGCCCACTCCACGTCAAGGCGGGTGTTGTCTCACACCATTTAAAGCTGGTGTCTTGCAACATTCGGCAAGCCCAGGCAAGTCCTGCAGGAACTCATTCGTGTGCTGGGCGTGGCATTTACGAGTTGCTGTGGCATTTGGTGGCACAGACATCTGAAATCGCCAGCCTCAAGAGGGCACAAGGCAGTTTTCGAGTGCGTCGAAGGACGATCGTCTTCCTTTCGGTGAACAATGCAAACGCGGGGATGATTCTTTGACTAGTTTATTTCCGTTCGAGCTAGGCCTGGCCAGATCGAGTTATCAGCCCCGAGTCAATGTCAAGATTTACTGGCGATGGGGATCATCTGCCAGCCTGCAAAGGCCGACGAGGACCACATTGAGGATACGGTAGATATCCGGAAGAGGAAAGATAAATCAGGACAAAGTTCAAGCATCTGCGGCATCCACCTGTAATTCGCCGCCAGGGCTTCGCTCAAATACCGCCCGCAAACCCTGTTCTGGCTTGCTCCTCGCCGCCATGCCTGATCCAGCCAACGCCTGGCGAGCCCGGGCCTGCAGCGGCTGACGGTGAGAGACGATCTGATCGCCACTAGCCACGGCCGCTAGGAAGACGCCATACCCGTCCTGTGCGGTCGGTCCAAGAGCTTGACCCGTTCTGGTCATTTTCTTTCACCTGGCCGCGGCCCGCAAGGTTCTGGCCTGAGAAATAAAGAGCAGCGGTCTTTGTTGGCGGGTAGTCAGGAACACAGGATCGAACCACATGGGGAGGCTCGAGCCTTCGTGTGTTCGCCCAGATATGCCAAGGTTAGGCTGCTCAGCTTGATCTACCAGTCGACCGGCCGGTCAATCAGTAGCTCGTGTTGTCATTGGGGTCCATGCAGGTCAAACTACTCAGCCCAGATCCGACGCGGGAAGAAGTAAGTCTATCGATGCCGGCAAGCTGCATGAGCCATCTGCCGCTCCTGGACAGCAGAGGTATAAGTGTGGTCATTCATCCGCTACTGGCCTCTCCCTCCCTCTCCCTCTGACGATCCTGGTCCACATCCTTGTCCATCCCCTTTTGCATACGGCCTACGTTACTATGCGTCTCTCACTGATTCCTGCGCTGTTTGGCGTCCTCGCCGCCGCTGTGCCTACCGAGGAGCAGGCGGCATCGCACCGCGAGGACAAGCGCCAGCTCGGGTCTCTCTTGGGCATTTTCAACCGCGATGCGACCTTTGACTACGTCATTATCGGCGGCGGCACAGCAGGCCTGACACTGGCGAACCGGCTCAGCGCCAACCGCGACATCACCGTGGCCGTCGTCGAGGCCGGCTCGTTCTACCAGATCACCAACCCGGCGCTCGGCCAGACGCCGACCGGCGACACCATCTTCGCGGGCTCGAGCCCCTCGGACACGAACCCGCTCGTCGACTGGAACTTTGTCACGGAGCCGCAGGCCGGGGCCGGCAACCGCAAGATCCACTACGCCCGCGGCAAGTGTCTCGGCGGCTGCTCGGCGCGCAACTTCATGGTCTACCAGCGCGGCACCAAGCAGTCGTACCAGAAGTGGGCCGACGCCGTGGGCGACGACAGCTACACGTGGGACGCGCTGCAGCCGCACTTTCGGCGGTCGGCGCGGCTGACGGCGCCGGCGGCATCGCGCTTCGCCAACGCGTCGGCCGAGTACGACGCCGCCGCCTTCTCGCCCGCCGGCGGGCCGCTGCAGGTGTCGTACGCCAACTACGCGCAGCCCTTCAGCACGTGGCTCGAGCCGGCGCTCAACGAGATTGGCGTCGCCGACGCCGACGACTTCAACTCGGGCGCGCTCCTGGGCGCGCAGTACTGCGCCAGCACCATCGACCCCAAGACGCAGACGCGCGACTCGTCGCAGACGTCGTTCCTGCGCGACGCCCAGGGCCGGTCGAACCTCAAGGTCTACACGGCAACGCTGGCGCGCAAGATTGTCTTTGACGGCGCCAAGCGCGCCACGGGCGTCGTCGTCTCGTCGGCCCTCGCCCTCGGCCAGTACACGCTCAGGGCGCGCCAGGAGGTCATCTTGTCGGCGGGCGCCTTCCAGTCGCCGCAGCTGCTCATGGTCTCGGGCGTGGGCCCGCGCGCGCAGCTGTCCAGGTTCGGCATCCCCGTCGTCGCCGACCGGCCGGGTGTCGGGCAGACGATGGAGGACCACGTCTTCTTCGGGCCGACGCACCGCGTCAACGTGCAGACGCTGACGCGCATCGCCAACGACCTCCTCTACACGGGCGCGCAGTTCCTCGGCCCGTACACGCTGCAGAAGCAGGGCCCGCTGACGAACCCCGTCTGCGACTACCTCGGCTGGGAGAAGATCCCGCGCGCCCTGCTGCCGGCGTCGGCGGCGTCGACGCTCGACGCCGCGTTCCCGGCCGACTGGCCCGAGCTCGAGTACATCTCGGCGCCGGGCTACGTCGGCGCCTTCACGAACCTGCTGACGACCCAGCCGCGCGACGGCTACCAGTACGCCACCATCCTCGGCGCCCTCGTCGCGCCGCTGTCGCGCGGCACCGTCACGCTGCGGTCCGCCGACGCCAAGGACCTGCCGCTCATCAACCCCAACTGGCTGACGGACCCGACCGACGTCGCCGTCGCCATTGCCACGTACAAGCGCCTGCGCGCGGCGTTTGCGACCGACGCCATGAAGGGCGTGCTCGTCGGCGGCGGCGAGTACTTCCCCGGTGCCGCCGTCCAGACGGATGCCCAGATCCTCAACACCATTCGCGAAACTGTCATGACTGTCTGGCACGCGGCCTGTACCTGTCGCATGGGCAAGAGGGATGACCCCATGGCCGTTGTCGACAGCGATGCCAAGGTCATCGGCGTGCAGGGCCTGAGGGTCGTCGACGCGAGCAGCTTTGCTCTGCTGCCACCCGGCCACCCACAGAGCACCGTCTACGTTCTGGCGGAGAAGATTGCCGCCGAGATTCTGGAGGCGCTATAAGAGATAGTCACACAGAGTGAAGGGGACTCATGTTGAATGAAATGGAAGAGTACACCATCTAGTTCGCGATATAGCAGACGTTGAATGAAGAACAAACTTGAATACAACGGGGGTGTCCAACGTCTTACGTCCTCCAGCGGAAACCAGGATGCTTCCAGTCGAGATCGGACACCTGCCCAGGCGAGAGGCCTGCAAGCTCCTCTTCCACATTGCGGCCATCCCTCTTCTTGTTATCCCACTTCATCCAGAACCAACCGCCCGTAGCAATGATCAGAATCATGGTCGCCGCAGCCAAGTTGAGGCCGTTGCCGATGGGGAAGTTGGGCGCGTCCTTGACGAGGTAGCTCCAGGTCGAGATGAGGCCACCGACGTTGCCGAACATGACCTGAAAACATTCATGTTAGCGGTGTGTCTCGAAATACCACAGGAAGCAGAGAAGCAGGGCAGACTCACGTTCAAACCGATGGCACTGCTACGCGCCGTATCGCTGACAACGTTGGCGCTGATGTGCGCATTGGACATGGGTCCCATGACCATGGCCGAACTGGCGATGAGGAAGGTGGCGGCATAGCGAATGGTAGCCGTATCGGACGCGAGGAACATGATGTAGCCAGTCATGACGAGGGGCGCGCTCAAGGCAATGAGCACTTGGCGGCGGTCGAGATACCAACTGAGGGCGGGGAAGGCGAGCACGAAGACGGCGCCCACAGCATAGGGTGGGACACTGTGGAGCTGCTGCTGGACGACGGTGTACTCGGGGTAGATGGTGCGGACGATGGTCGGCAGGAAGAAGGCGAGGCCCTGGACGGTGATGTTGTTGAACAAAAAGATGACGGCGATGTGGAGGGTGACGGGGCTGGTCATGCCGCGCCACAGGCGCTTGCGGTCGAGGTTGTCGAGGACCTCGGTGGCACCGACACGCTCGGCCTTGAGGCGGGCAATGCAGAGGTCCTTCTCTTCCTGGGTCAGCCAGCGGGCGGTTTCAGGGCGATCGGTGAGGGTGACGAAGGCGATGAGAGCGAGGCCGACGGTGATGATGCCCTCGATGGCGAAGATCATGCGCCAGGTGTGAAGAGAGCCAAAGTGGTCAAGCGTCAGAATGGCGGAGGCGAGCAGGCCACCAAAGGCACCGGCGAGGGGTGCCATGACCATGTAGAGCGAAAGACGGAAGGTCAGCTCGGCGCGCTGGTACCATCGAGAGAGGTAGTAGGCGATGCCAGGCAGCATGCCAGCCTCGAAGATGCCGAGAAGGAAGCGCACACCGCAGAGGGCAGCCTGCGACTGAACGAAGCCGGTGGCGATGGAGATGGCGCCAAAGGCGAGGGACGTGGCGGGCAGGAACCAACCGGGGCCCATCCACTTGCAGCAAATGTTGGCGGGGATCTCAAAGATGATGTACGAGATGTAGAAGACGGAGAGGACAACGTTGTAGTCGTAGCCCTGGAACCCGAGGTCCTTTTCCATGCCGGCGATGCGTGCGTTGCCAATGTTGGCGCGGTCGATGAAGCAGAACAGGTAGAGGAAGGAGACGGTCGGGACGGTCATGAGGTCGAGCTTCCAACGCAGTTTCTTCACAGCCACGGGATCAAACTCGATCAGGGGGTTTCCGTACTGATCGGTTGCGACCTGGCCGTTGCCGGCCGCAAGGCGAATATTGCCATCTTCGTCGGTGACTGTCTTGAGGCCGTGGCTATCAAGAGTCGCCTCGATGTGGCGGTCGTTGGGGCGTTCCTTGTCAGACGACGACATGACGGCAAAGGGGGTTTCAACCGCGAGGGTTGAGATTGAAGAGAGGCGAGAGAAGGGATGAAGCAGTTTGGCGCCCGATAGCTCTCACGTAAAGTGAAAACGGTGGCGAGTGGGCTGGAGGGCACGAGTCGTCCTCCACTGTCTGACGCCAAGTCGTGAGCAGAGCGGATGTGAGGGAGGTGGACGATTGATGGTTCTGGACAGTGATCGTCGAGATGATCCTGATGCTCCTGCGAGAAGAAATTCCATGGATGATCAGGGACAGACGACAGTCCATATATCCATTTCGACATGACCGAGCCAAGGTCGTGTGGTTGGTAGAAGGGGTCAAGTCAAGCAGGTGTTCGTGGTAGCATCACAAATTTGACCCCCTGGCGGCCATTTCGGGCTTAGTGCCGCATCTGGGGGGCGCCTGCCCCGCAGCCTCGACCTCCCGGTCACTGCTGCCGTGTCTTGCGGGGTACAGCCTGGCTCCACCAGCGTATGAACGGCTGTGATAACGGCTGTTCGATGCCAAGACGTCGTGTTGCCTCATTGAGCTTCTGCAGCGAGCCATCCGTGCTGCAATTTTGGGCTGATGGGAATGATGGGAAGAAATCGTGTCTTCGAGCGTGTCCGTCCCGAGCTGCTGGGTGAGACCAAGCCGAGCATCATGGCACTGAATCACCGACTAGGGAGGGACCTGCCTTGCCTCGGTAGGTACCTAAGGGTAAGGTACCTAGGCAGGCAGTTGGTATTCATGGTACTCCACGTGTCAAGATGGCGCCCGAATCTCAGACCTATCCGAATACAACAACGGCGGAGCGCATGGGCAAAATACAGCAGAACCTCGGAGAATTGGCCTTTTTCTCCGTTTCTCCAGCCTGCCATTGCGATTAAACCTTCTTCCCCTGCCGTCAAGCCTTACGATACGATGCGAAATCGAAGGCGTCCTGCGGAACTATGCTTAACCACCATGGGCCAGCCTAAACCGATCCCTCCGTCCATCCATCCATCCCCTGCAAGCATGCAAGCCGCAAATCAAGGCGGCCGACTTGACAATCACCACCCTCGAGTCAGTGACCGATTACCCCATCACCCCCATCTATCCACCACGGCACCAGAAACCTTCCGCCGTGGAGAGAGAGAGAGCATGCTGGGTACCCCAGATTTCGTAGTACTGCCGTAGACCCCACGCCCACCAACTCTCCATCTCCCCTTCCCCCCCCCCCCCCCCCCCCCCGTACCTCCCGTCGCCCTAGCTAGCTTCATCTACCTTACTCGCAACGCTATCTCCCGCCCTGCCTCCCTCCCCCGCATTCCACAGTGACGTTTCCCTACCAGCTGAGGTGGCCCCTATTTGCCCTCCTGGGGGCCGTCTCGCACGCCGTTGTGTACGATACCGCCAATCACACCCCGTCGCAGACGACCTGCACATGCACACCCGTCCTGCAGTTGAACCCCCCCTGCCGGCAAGTATTTCGGCACTTGACACGAGCTGGGGGAGAACAGCCTGCTAGGGCGTCTTCTCCAGCCTGATAGGGCGTCTTCAGAACTGTGGGTTCGCGTTGAGTTTCATCGGATCGCGATTGGGGCTCTCGTCATCGTCTTTGTCAAATTAGCCCCCCCCCTTGCTGGCAGAAATTCGCCGTGAACGCGTCCTGGCTGCCCGCGACTAGGACCTTGCCTGACAAACATTGGTCAGAATGTTGCGTAAGAGTACCGAGGGAAACGTATGCAGGGTGACAGCCGAGGATATTGAGGCTCTAGGTGGGCAGAAACATGACAGAGACATCAGGCGGGGAGTATCTTCCGGAGTTTTATGCTGTAGGCCTTGGGTTTCCCATGTTGTGTGTTCCGCGGCAACCTTATGCGTGTGGTTAGACTGGGTAACAAACGTCTCGGACTCAGTCGGAGTTGCCACATCCATCCTGCATCATCATGGTACCATGATGGGGATACTACCTTCTTGATCACCACTTCAACGTGTCGTTGCTCGCTATTGAAGCATTCGATCCGAAGTTACAAGGCTATGGCCAATGAAGAGATTGCAAAGTATAACTAACTCTATGATCAAAGTCGAAAGCTAGTGCTAAAACTTTCTTTTTTACAGAATCTGGAATGATTTGTTTTCACTCCGATCGGGGGTCACCAATGCAACCTACCAGACGTTGTAGCCAAAAAGCACATGCTGCCGACAGCGAGTGCTGATTTCCTTCGCTGACAGCGTCAAGGAAGACAATTTCATAGAGCAGAGAACGCAGGAAAAAGGAAACCCCGACAAAAAGAATCAGAATGGCTGCTCCCACTATGTGTTACCTCCAAATCTATCTTTCCTGGTGGTGTTGTGACCCAGGGAGGTATTTATCTGGGAGAAGCAGGCCATGAGAACAAAGGATCAAGATCGTGTCTCCTGTCTGTCCGACTGGATCTGGTCCGATCCTACACCGAAGCGCACCTTGTTTCACCTCGAAATCGTGCTCTGTCCAAGGAACGACACAGCGATCAACGGCGAACCCGACGATTTGAAACAACAGGAACCACCTGTCATTAAGCATAAGAAGAGTGCCGTCTGATCTCCACAAGGTAGTCTGTCATGTCATAAGACTTTGCGTCACGTAACTGTGAGAGGCACAAAGCACTGTCCACGTCAGTGTTGGACCGCACTGCAATCCTTGCCCTCAAACAGAGACACGGTGGAGATGCACAGGCATGACAGGGCCACTGAAATGAGAAACCCATGTGCGCCCCAGGCCTTCGGGGGGGGCGACAATGCGAGCGGCACGCATCCATTGGCTGGCACTGCCGAAGCGATGGGCACGGAACCAGCGTCCCGGAACGGATCATCGTGGGCCGGGGGGCTGTGATGACGTGAGAAGTGAGAACAGAAGACGGAGCCCTGGGGAGGGCGCCCGAGCCCCAGGTCTCTGGGGAAGTGTTCAGTGATTATTGTGCAGTGTCTAGGTCCCTGAGGAGGTCGGCAGGTAAAGGTACCTTCCCTTTGTACACCTCACTGTAGAGACGGCCAGTGCGTTGGGCTGAGCTGGCCAGGCGGCGGCAGCAGCTCCTGTGACGCCGCCTGCCAACGCAGGGCTCGGCGGGAGGGGCAGATGGGCAGCGGCTGCGCAAGCTGACGAGGGCCCATCCGTCAGCACCAGCGTCAGCTCTCTTTTTTTTTGTTCCTCTTCCCTTTGTCCATTGCTTCACCTCGAGCAGCGTTGCTGTTCAGTCTTGATCTGTCTGTCGCCATCTCTGCATCATCGTTAGCCATCTGCACAGAAACCACGTTCATCCCATCATCGCGACATCTGCTCCACTGAATAAACCATCCGACGATCCACGATTGACGGCGACGACACGACTGATTGACCAGACGATTGACGACGACGAGACGGTTGACTGACGACCCGATTGACGGTGACGGCGCGGTTCACTGACGACACGACTGCGACACGACTGACGACGGCGGCGACGAATGTCCGCCATGCTTCGCAAGAAAGAGGTCTACACGACCATCACGCCCATACCGGGCTTCATCCCCCGACAGCTCGCCATCGACATCCTCCACTCCCACTCCGAAGTCATCACTCTCAACCCCCTCGTGATCGACCACAAGCCCATCCAGGCGCCCCGCGATGCCGCCTCGGACGAGTACTACTCGACCTGGTATGAGATTACCGAGCGCATGCAGTGGGTGCCCGGCCTCGGCAAGATGGGCTCTGGCAAGATCAAGTTCAATGGCTGCTTTCACGACATGCCCTGGGGCCTGCAGACGCACACGTACGCGCCCATGAATGTCGACATCCGCATCAAGTACCGCATCGAGGGCAACCAGCCCGGCATCGAGCCCCCCGTCCACGCCGAGATTGGCCTCGCCGACCTCGGCGTCCCCGCCGACGGCCTTTACCTGCGCGAGGACATTGAGATCAAGTGCAATATCACCGTCATCAGCTACGTCCGCTCCCAGCTCAAGACGGCTTCGAAGGAGATGGTCTCGCGCATCATCAAAAAGGCCGAGCTGCTCGACGCCGGTGTCCTGTCCGCCATGATCCAAGACGGCAAGATCAAGACCATCAACCCCAACGATCGCTCCTCCACCAACGCCAACACCAACGCCGCCCTCTTGTCGCCGACCTTTGCGCCCCAGCGCAGCCCGGGCCTCGACGGGCCCGCCTCCCCCGCCATCCCCTACACCGTGCCCCGCGCCAGCACCTACATGGCCGCCACAACGCCGCCCGGCCAGCGCCCCGGCACCTCGTCGTCGCAGGGCACGCAGAACGCGCAGGGCACCCAGTACGCCGAGCTGCCCACCCAGCACCACGCGCCCCAGCAGACCGCCTTCGTCGCCGAGCTCCCGGGCAACTTCTACCACCCCCAGCCCTCGCCCGGCCAGCCTTCGCCTACAGCCAACGCCTTCCGCTGGTCGGGCCAGAACCCCAACCAGCCGGGCCCCGGCCAGGCGAGCCCCAGCCTGACGGCCTCCTCGCGCCCAACGTCCATCTCCTCCGAGGCCAGCAGCGGCCAGAACACGGGCTACGCGTCCCCGGCCCTCGACCACAAGGGCTTTGCCTCTGAGCTGTCGACGCACCCCGAGACGCAGGAGGAGCATCGTCCGCTTCAGCAGCAGCAGCAGCAGCAGCAGCAGCAGCAGCAGCAGCAGCAGCAGTATTACCCTCCTGATGTGCAAAAGTTCGACCCCGGGCAGCACCGCGTCACGGGCCCGCATGCCTATCAGTATAACCCTGCCGATTATGCGCCGCGGTGAGCCGTGTTCCTACCTTGGAGTTTTGCGGATTCGCGTATGCTTCAGCGACGTACGCTCGCTCATGTTGGAGGAACGTGCAATGGAGTCTTCATGTTTGGGGTTCACGGATGATATCGCTTTGCTGTTTCGTCATTTTCCTTCCCTCGTGGGTCGTGATTCGTGGGTACAATGGACTCTGGATTCTGGATTCGGTCGTTGGGCTGTGGGTGATCCAGGCGCACATAATACCAATACTTTTGACTTTTGTCTCATGCCTCACACTGAATAGGATATGTGTAGTAGGTGGTGATGGAATCGACTTGACCACGCAGTCACATGGTCCTCGCCACAAAACCAACCCTGACAGAATACCTCAGTCCAGGATAGTCCCTACACCGCAAGGCTACAGCAGCAACGAACTGAGATCATCGCGCAATCATGCCGCTCAGCCCTTTCCGCCCACCTGACCGCAAGACGCCGACCACGAGGCAGAGCACCCCGCCAAAAAGAACAAGAAGTACATACACAAGTCGCAAAATAAACCGTAAAGACAAAAGTCAGCTTGGCCGCAGAATGCCGCCCTCTACATAGTTTTCGCCGTCGCCGTGCCCCATTTCCGTCCCACGGCACGCGCCGCACCTACGTCCTTCGACTGCGCGTCGAGCGTGCCGGAGGGGGCGCTTCTTTTGCCTTCTTCGCCGGCGGTGCTGCTTTGGGTGTTGCGGTCGCCTTGCGCTTCGGCTTTGCGGGAGCGGGCGCCTCTTCGACTGGTTCGGCGGTCCTGGCCGCTCGTGACGGGCGCGTCGTTGGCGCGGTCCTGGGGGCGGCTTTCGCGGGGGACGGCTTTGCTCTGGAAGGCCTGACAGGGGCAGCCTTTGCGAGAGCCTTCCTGGGCACCCTCGCCTTGGGCGCGGCTGGCGCGGCAGCCTTTGTCGGTTGGGGGCTGATCGCTGGCGCAGCCTTGGCCTTGGCGGTGGCCTTTGCAGCGGCCTTCTTGGCCGGGGCCTTCTTTGCACCAGCCTTGGGCTTCGCACCCTTGGTCTGCGCACCAGCCTTGGTCTTCGCACCCTTCAAGACCGTCGCCCTGCCGCCCTGCATCGCCCAGTACTCGTCGAGATGCTCGGCGCCGTAGCCGCGGACAGCGTCCTCGGGCTCCCATGATTTCTGCGCCGATCCGATCCATGCGACGTGGAGGAGCACGCTGCCGTCGGGCTGGACCTTGTGGCCTGCGACGTGGAGCACGTGCCACATATCCGGGTCGGCCATGGCGGCGGCGCGCCCGCCCTTGACGGAGCGCCAGTACTTCCACAGCGCGGCCGGCGCGTCCTCCTGGACGTTGGCCTCTGGCTCCCAGGAGAACTGCTCTTGGGGGTCTTCCGTGTCCCACTTGACGCGGACTTCGAAGAGGGTCTCGTCGTCTGTGGCTTGGCGGTGCTCGACAATGTCCTTCATCTCGAAGACCTCCGCGCCGTCCTTGGTCATGGGCTGCAGGGTTTCGCCGTTGTTGGCTTCGGTCTCGGCCTTGGATGTGTCGTCGCTAGCAGCGGGTTCTGGAGCGACTGGTGTCTCCGCCTTTGGTTTGTTGGTATCTTCGGCGGCGGTTTCCTCGGGAGCCTCCTCCACAGCAGATTTAGCAACCTGGTCTGGCTGCGCGGTCTCTTCCCCATTGACCTCGACTTCCTCCGTCTCGACTTCCTCCGTCTCGACTTCCTCCGTCTCGACTTCCTCCGTCTCGACATCATCTGCCACGTCTGCACCAGCAGGAACATCTAGCGACATATTAGTCACAGTTCTATTGACACTGACAGAAATGGCTGGCGCACCTCTAGCCGACCGAGGGCTCTCCACCGTGCCCCCAAGCGAATCGTGAAGCTGGTCCTCGAGCTCGACAGCCGTGCTGTTCGCCTTGACCTCGACTTCCTCCACAACCGTCTCCTCCGTCGCGACAATCGTCTCGCCCGCAGGTCCCTCCGTCTCCACAACAGTCTCGGTGACCGTGGCGCTATATGTCGCGACAGGCTCGGCCTCCTCTGGCGCCTCTGCATCGGCCTCGTCCGCCGCAGGCTCCTCAGCTTCTTCGATATCCTTGAACGCCCTCTTGCGTCCGGCCACAACAGACGGGCTCGTCGGCTCAGGCGTCGCATTGTTCCCGCTGCCGCCGCCGCCGCCGCCGCCAAGGACATTGCGCATCGATTTCCAGAGAGCGCCGCCGATCGAGGCGGGCTCCTCGGGGACGTCGGGCTGGGGCGTGGGCGTGGGCGGGGGCTTGGGCGCATCGTCCTCCATGGGGGCCATGGGGGCCATGGGAGCCAGGGGCGCGATGGGCACCGCGTCGACCGAGGTGGACCGAGACTTGTCGTGGCCGTCCGAAGGAGAAGGAGCAGCAGAGGCCAAGGCGGCGCGCGGGTTGTAGCCCAGGTCGCGAGATGGCGGCCTACGCACGGGTGACGCGAAGGCCATGGTGCGCTTGTGGGGGGCGGTGAAGTTGGACGAGGTGACGGGCCCGGACGCGCCGTCGTCGGACGCGACAGACTTGAAGCGCTTGGGAGGGCGGGTCGACTGTGAGGTGGCAGGCATGTTGGAAGAACCGGGTCGCGGGCGGTGGAGTGTCGTTTGCTTGGTGTGAGGCAGTCGTGGCGTCGTTGCTGCGGCGTCACTAGGTTTCGCCATGGTGGATGAGGAGGGGGGGACGTCGCGTCGTTGCTTGTAGTACGTGGGGGATGTATGTGACCCTGTACGCTGTGGTACGTGGTGGAGATACAGGCAGAACCTTCCGCGAGGGTATCTCGAGATGCAGAGGGCACTGCGATGGCTGAGCCCGAGCCGGCACGAGGTTGATCGATGGCTGGCTGGGTTGGCGACGCGACGTGACAAGTGGGTTGATAGAGAAAAGATGGTGTCGTTCGTGGTGTTGTGGATTTCACTTTCGCGCCTGCCCTGGCAAGTTCCTTGGAAGCTGCGTTCCGAGCACTCGTACCTCCTAGCACCTACATGGTGCTACAGGACCTAGGTGCCTTACTCCCTACACACTACACACTGCTGCACATGCGACTGATGGTTGCTGGTGACGAGACCTGCTGAGTCAGCGATCCAGCGATCCAGCGACCAGACTGCCGGTCTGCGCCTGCGTCCGGGGGACAACCCCCTGTGCCACAGGGGTCGTCCACTAAGTGCACCGCTAGGCCAATGGACGTCTTTCTTCTCGCCGTTGGTCCTGTTCATTGGCATGGGAGCACACCCTCTGGATTGACCATGGCAAGCCACCCACAATCACATGACTAGAGCCTGCCATAACGAACCTAGCAGTATAACTGCTGGCTCCCAAATGACTGCCAAACTATCGGACAAAACCACCCGCATGGCATTGTGAAATAAATTGTACGTGTCGAATAGTAAGAAAAAAATGCAACAAAAAATGCAACAAAAATCACGGATACAATCCGACCTCTTGAAGGTGACAGACATTCAGCCCAAATCAGAGGCGTGTAGGTAACATCACGAGAGACCATGACAAAGCGATCATCCACAACCCATATTCAACAATCACCTCTAGTCGCATCAGTCGTCATTACATTTCATCATTCGTCAGATCTCGTCGAGATACTAGACTTGGGTATCCATGCCGAAAATCAACCTATACCTCGGGCCAAAAACAGACCGCTCTACCCAGTAAGACCCCATACGGCCCACGACACCTCCCATCTCACGCATTCGCCCTGCCAAACTTGACATTGTCAGACGATCGCACGCTCCAGACCTTCCTGCCCGTCGCCTTACGACACGCCGCGATCCACGTGAGCGCCACGACCAGCGGCAGGCCGATCCCGACACCGACGCCGACACCGATCCCCCACCTCTTCTGGCTCGCGGCCAGGTCCCGCGCAGACGCCTGTCGCCTGTCCGCGAGTACCTGGTCGAGCTCCGCATCCGCCAGCAGAAAGTTGTGCGAGGAGTCGGCCGGCGCATCCGATGACGCGCCCGGCTGCGAGATGGTGATGACGTTCCGCCGGGTGCGGGCCATGAGCCACGCCGCCTCCATCGTGATGCCGGGCATGGGGTTCGCGCGGTACGCGTCTAGTATCGTCTGCGGCGTGAAGCGGTACGTGCCCGACATTTTCTTGTTGGCGGTCAGGTCTGCGCCGGCCCTGCGTCAGTTTTCTTCGTCTTCTCCGTGGACCAACCTCAACCGCGCAGGGCTCTGGGGCACAAGGGTGGAAAGCACACTCACTCGTAGCGTAGATGGTGCGCAAGCCCTGGTCGTCCTCCTTTCCCGGCATCTCGTCCGGCAAGCTGCTGAGCCAACGGATCGTCACGGGAAGCGACCCGTTCGCATGCCGCCATGCAATGTCGTACCCATACTCAGACTCTAAGAGGGCCGTCCTCGCGCCGGCGCCGCTTGCCCACAATGAGCTGGCGCCCTGTGGCCAGTCGCAATCATCGCCAGAGGGGTTGAAGGCGTCGTATCTGCACCATTTAAACGACGACAGGCAGATACCGTCGCTGGCGCATTCCGAGTCGAGTGCCGGGTCGTATGCTGCCGCTGCCAAGCCCAGTAGGATGGAGGACACAATGTTTCGGATGAATCGCATCTCGACGAGTTGCTCCCAGCTTGGAAAAGGGTATTTCAGTCGAGGGAGCTCATAAGCTCAAGAGGGTGGCGCTACATGAGGACGCAATATTTATACAGTGAGAAGAGAGGCCGCCTCGCTGTCATGATGTAATGCTCGACATCATGTAGAAAGTTGTGCCCGCATCCGAATGCTGTGCCGCAGGGCGCCGACCTCCCGATTGGCAGTTCATCGAGAGGAATCTTGGCTTCCAGGCGAAGCCTTCCATGCGTTGATCTCGTGCTGCTGCCTGGGGTCCGTCGTAGGGCTGCCAACGAACGTCGTTGATTGTTTGAGATAAAAGTTCGACGCGACCATGAGCTGCATGTATTGAATCAAATTGTCTACAATCAATGGAAGCCTAGACCGGCCGGCCGGTGCTCAGCTTGTTGCGGCCGTTGAGCGACCTTGCCAGCTGCCTGGATTCTGGTTAGTGTCATGGATCCATTCGCGCAACAAGCATACTGCGCGGCGCCAGTGTATCGCGTGCTTGGAAAGCGAACAGATCCGGGACATCCTGGTTGTTTGTCGTGGCTCGGCCTCTGATCGCTACATCCTGGAGTTGGGAAACCCCACGTCTGGCAGATTCCAAAGCGTATCGTACACCTGAAATTGCGAGAACAGGTCGTCGAGCAGGATCTGGTCGTCGCTGGTCCCCGATGGCTGCGAGAAGAACGGCGGATCAACTTGGCTGACCAGTCGCGTTTGCTCGTCCGGCCAGGGCTGCACAAATTTCGTCGTGACATGGAGCGTAGATCTCGGATCGTCGGCGGCGGACATCGCTGCGAAGGGCGACGAGCCGTCGCTTGCGCCGTAGGAGGGAGGCGACACGAGAATGTCCCAGAAATACCCCGGATCAAATGTTATGGTGGAACTATCGGGTCGGCTCTCGGCAGCCGAGTGAAGCTGGCGGAGGATGTTCAACTAAGGCCATGTCAGTTGCCGATCGGACGACGCCGCGCTCCGACGCTGCCTCACCTTGTGGCGTATGTGCGGCCATTTGACGGAGAGGCGTTCTAAGAATCTTTCGCAGAGGAACAGGCCCTCGCGAGCCTTGGAGGCCATCTGTTGATCCTGGGAAAACTGGAACAGACAGGGGATGATTGCCGTGGCTGCGACCTGATGCCCCATCAGGGGGTCGTTTATCTCCAGTTCCATCTCCTCAAAGGTCTGCAGTAAACGGATCACCCATCCGGTATGAAAAAGTGACTGGTCAATGATGTGCTGCATGAAAAGCTTCGGTTGAGCCCTGCACTCGCGGCCTCGCAAGGCCACTAGGTGGAGGAAAGGATGGTTGAGAACGGCGAGAGCTGCGTGGGATGAGAGCTGCATGATCGTCCACGGCGACCAGTATTCTCTGTAAGAATGAAGCTCGGACGGAGAGCGGTGTTTGACTAGTATGTTCTCGAACCGGTGGGGAGGTGCGAGATCCAGCTCAAACTGGTGCAGCTGGACCTGGATCTGGGAGTACGTCGAGTTGGAGGACCACGGGATTTCCGTCTTCCCTTTGCGAATGCTGCTCAAGTATGCACAGATATCTCCCCAGATGGAAATGATCTGGACGCTTGGCGACACGATTCCTGCTTTGGGCTCCTGGTTCTGTTGATGGTCAGTCTGGACCGCCTCCAACGCCGGCTCGGAGACACCTGGCGGCAGGCAAGGATTGGAGGGTAAACCCGGGGCGTCATCTTGGCTACTGAGAACAGAATATGTGGGGGAGAAGGCCTTTTCAAGGATGAACACGCTCCAGTAACATCGAGCATCAGCGTCAGCATCCTCTGTGTCGGGGGCTGCCGGCGATGCTTGTCGGCTCAATACGCGCAGCGTCTCCAACCGTGAAGCGGTTCCAATAGACATCCAAGCCCGCGTTGAGTTTCTGTCTGCAGTACAAGGTCAGCTCAAACCGCCGACATGGTGTTGGGCGGGAATCCCACTCATAATGTCGCAAAGTACTAAGATGCAGAGAGACTGGACAACTTCTGGGTCTGCCTTGCCCTCTGCAGCCAGTCTAGTTACGGATTCTCGTGCTGAATTCATATAGAATTCGGACGCCACTGCTTCATTCCCGTTATAGAAGGGATTGTCTAAGTAACGGAGACATAAGGCGAAAAGGCTCCATCGAAGGAACTCAGGGAAGCCTGATATTCTCTTGCGAAGGTCCAGAGGCCTAAAAAGTGGCAACGGCTGGAAGTAGATCTTGGTTTCATAGATACTAAGAATGCAGTCGATCACTTCAGCAGGCGGATTCGGGTTCGATGGAGACCTGCAGGAGTCGGAATCAGCTTGCAACCTCGCCGCGGCCGTGGTTCAACTGCGTCCACGGGTACCCACCATACGTTGTTCTGAGATATCGGGCTCGAGGCAAAGTTGGGAGACGGGGAAACCATGCTAGACTCGCTGGCCGAGGAGTTGCGCCTCAAGTCGCGGTCAGGCGAAGACCTAGAGCTGCTTTGGAGTGTTTTGCCGTCATCGCCCGGATTGGTGAGTGATCTAATGAGAAAGCATCAGCTTGACCATTGAGATCAACGGCGGCAAGGGAGAGATCGAACTGTAGGATGTCGTAAATCTGGCCAACTTTAGACTCCAGGTTTCTAACCCTTTTGATCGATGAACTGTGTAGTTGCGCATGTCAGTTGCGACAGCGCTTATCATCGCAAGGGGCTGGGGGAGAGAGCTACTCGGATGATTTTGTGACCCGGCCTGCATCTACATCCACAGTTCTCTGATGTCTGGGCAAGTAGTGGCATGGTTGCTTGAGCCTGATACAGAAAGAGCAAGCAGGCTTTTCTGCGGGACACTTCGTCTTCTTCCGCCTGTTTGGTGTGTAAGTGCGTACGTGACAATCCAGTGGGGCTTGCCACAGCAAGAAGACTTAAGACGAGAGGTCTTTACCTGCAAGGCTCACAGGCCTGCCGTGTCTTTGGATCTCCAGGGGCGATGTGAGAAGCCATGTTGGGCAGCAGGGGTCGATTGGGATATGGGCGGAGTTTTCGAATAGAGGTGTGTACCGTGTCGCCGCGCCCGGAGCTATGGGGACGGTGGGAGGATTATGGGGACCTTGTCTTGGGCCGGGAAAATGAGCACGTGAGCGGATTCCGTCCCGGGTGTTCAATTAATACCTACCTCCCTAAGTACCTAGGCAAGCCAGGTAAGGCAACCTAAGGCAAGAATCGCCAAAAACATCTTAGTCACGTGAGCGGAACTTGGGCGTTTCTCTTCTCTGTACTATACCTACAATCATGAGTGGCTGGAACATCTGTCGACGCTGACAATGTCTCACAAGTTTGTCTATGACCATGAGTCATTGGATACGACTTATACTGTGCCATTCATTGCAAGTAACGGAAGGACAACACACTGAGCCGCTATCCTAGGAGTCTTCCGATATATCACGAAGGCATTAAGACGCAGAGAAAGTCGGATACTATTGCGCTGGTTCTTCCTTTCGAGGTCCGCTATAGTCCTAGTTTCATAATCGAGGTGTATATCAAGACCTTCTCATCGAAGTCCTTGCTCGACATTTGATGGCTCTACCAGTGGAAATGGTGCAAATCACACCGAATTAGAGTTGTCCGCGCAGGACCAAGCCCTCGATCCCCCATCAGCCTTGTAGGAGGCGATTATGCCTGTGATGGAGCCGTACGTGCCGGCGATCATCAGAAATGTGCCGGAAACGATAATGAAGACATTCAAAGCCACTAAAAGCACCCACTTAAGTGACTGAACCTCGCCGCCTTTCCAATTATCATAAAGCCACATGCACCCCAGAGGCTGGAAACACATGAGAGTGCCAAGCAATGCGCCAATCAGGGCCACTAGCCCGCCAAAAATGGGAATGCCGCTAGCGATGGTGTATGCCACAACGCCAACGCTGAAAACGCACCCGAACCAAGTCGCCCAGTGAGTAAAGGTGTTCCCCGCGAGGTGCTTTGACTGTCTAAGAATGCGGACGAAGAACCATTTGCTCGCAAACTGACGTTGTCAGAAATTATCGTGGACGAAAGTATGGAGACTCACGTGGGTACTCAAGGTTGAGCTGGCAATCAGCCCTGGGAGAGCGATCCCATAGCTGATCTGCTTGAGCAGCTTACCTGCGGACCCAAGAGCCGGCGAAGCAACAAAAGAGCCGCAGTAGTAGTACACAACTACCCCAATCGTGATGTAGGTAACGGTGACGATAGACTGACAGAGGAGCATGGATTTGGCGTAGTGGCGAGGATCTCGCATCTCAGCCACGATTGGAAAGTAAAATGGCGTGCCGACATATGCAAAAATGAACGTCGATATAGCGGATATAGCCTCGGTAAAAGTTGGGTTTCCAACAGTCTTCCAGTCAGAGGACCAGGGCCCGTCAGGCGCCTCGTCAGGTCGGTCTTGGACGCCCACAGCAATGGTGACGATCAGAACTATGCCACCGTTAAGATCTTGTACTTGAGAAAAAGTGATAGGAGGTTCCCAGAGCATGAACCAAACCCCAGACACTGAGGGAATAAAGCGCGAAACGTACTCGAGACCAAAATTGAAACGAGACCAGCCCATGCGATGAAGCTTATGCGGTCAAGGGTGCGAAGACTTGCGAGAAACATGGCGATAATGGCCGCAACTGCTACGAAGACGGCAGTACAGGCTCCGTGAGTTGAAACTGCATTGAAGCTGATAGAGATGCCGAGCATGCCGGAAGCGGCAGCGAAGACGAGGACTATTAACGCTTGAGTCAGAATTGAACATGTAAGAGCGATGTCGCGATCTTTGATTACATAGAACAAAGCACACTCCGAAGACCTCCCGGCCGACACGACCAAACATAATGCCAACAGCATCATCGATACCATAGACTTCGCGGTGGTTGAGCTTGAAGGTGCCAACGACGTAGCTGCCCCAAGTCGTGAGGATGGCAATGGTCAGCATGCAGATAATTCCAGGGACCATGCCGAGGATGTCGAAGGCGGCTGGAATCGAAAGAACGCCCAGGCCGATCTGGC